ATAGGTGTAATGAAGACGTAACACCATCACCCGTCTACGGGAAACGAATTACACCAGCCATACAACCCAGACATTGAGGCGTGGTTTCGAGAACATTAGTATTCTGTATAACTACCTAAGGTATCGAATCAAATCTTTAGTAAGACGCTGGTTTTCATTCTGTGGTCCATAACTGAGACGGGATAGACAGGCTCCTACTTGAGATGATTGGTACTGACATTTCATTGAAATGGTTACGTACACAATAGATGATCCTCTTTCATGCGAAACATCTGTCGAGATACAAGGTATGATTTTTTGATATGGCATGAATAGGCTAGGGGCCTAGCATCAGCATGCTTCCCTATGTTACCGGACGCCCATGGAGCGCTGACTTTTGCAACTATGAAAAAAATACTTTTACATAGAGTTTTACATTATTAGCCAGCACTGAATGCAGAAGCAAAGATCCAACAATTGAATGGTTATTCATTTGCACTAAATTCTGATTAAGACGAACTTGATGTTCGCGCCCCCTTGCTTGGACCGTTTAGCCTCATGGCGATTATAATGGTCAAGTTTCCACCTAGACCAAAACCCCGAATCACGAAGGCCGGATAACTAGAACAAGGTAATGCTAGCGATATGTATCCGCTTGAGGGAACGTGGCCGGCGTGATACTGTCGATAAGAAGCCTCTTGAAACGGAATCGCGTTATCACACTCAACGGTACCGGAATCGTCCAAAATACTCTGGGATTATTCAGGAATCCTGGTGACATCTGCAAGTGAGCGACGCGGACCGGGGGTTATAGAACAACCTATAAGATCAACGCACACCACGTCAACGTGATCCTTGCGGGAGACCCCTAGGACACTATCTTGAGGGACCAATAATCTTAGCCGCGAAGAAAGGATGCTTAAGTGCCTCGGACGGAGTAATTCTTTTGTCCGGGTTGAGCGTTAGACATCTTTCTAGTAGGTCTATGAAGTGGTTGAGATCCCTAGACTCTACATCATTCATCCCACCAGAGGCAGCCAAGAGGCGAGTACGCAAATCACGGGTCGGCTTGACAACGGCTAGGGTCCGTACGGTGGTCTGAATATCAGTCAGCTTGTAGATCCTAAATGTACTATTTCAAAAGCTAGACAAAAGAGATGAGGGGTCGAACAGAATTAGGATGAAGGAATTTGGGTTGGAGGTTGATCAAGAGCGTCAGCTCAACGCCGCGAGACCTGGCAGTACTGGTATCGTAGGCGCATTAAATGTACACCAACCTGACACAGCAATTATGATATATGACCATAGGATTTCATACTGACTGCTCGCTGACACAGTGGAGTAATCCCGACGGCAAGAGGACGACCAACCTGAACAAGGATATCCGTGCGGCTGGCTTGCATTTCTCCGAATGCATTCATTCGCTTTAATTGTGACTTGCCTGCAGCTTGCAGCAGCACCCCGGAGCTTACAGTAGCCTGGGTTTCTAGAAAGGCGCCTACTTAAACGCTGTATATAAATAGAAATTTGGAGGGAACCATACTCAAGATTCTCCAGCAAGATGCAACGAGGTGTTAATGAACTAAGAAATGTGAACGTACCTTTCCAAGCGCTTTATCTGTCTCGAGGCTAATGAAATTTCCGAAGTCGTCAAAATGCATATGAGATAACTGGCCACGCTTGTACAGCTTGCTGCTAAACTTGCCGCGGATTTCCATGATGGCCTTGAGCATCTGGTTGTTACTGTCACCTGTAAATAGGATTTTGCCGGTGTAAAGCTCATACAATGTGCACCCTATGGACCACATATCGACGGCATAATCATACGGCATCCCGAGAATGATCTCCGGGGCTCGATAAAACCGACTGACTAGGTACGGTGTGATTTCGTTGTTCGCGGTTGCAGCGTCTGATCTATCAATAGCTGTGCCCAAATCACAGATCTTGAGGACATTGCGAGTTTCGTTTACCTGCACAGGATTAGTGATGACTTAATCTCCTCTGCATGATGTGCTTGCTTACCAAGATATTGTCCGGCTTCAAGTCAGCATGGATGATACTGCATTTGCGAAGATGAGCTAAAGCAACGAATATCTGATGTGCATAGGCACGCGTCGCACCCAGATTAATGCCGATATTGTTACCAAACTTCCTCAAGACCTCTCTTAAGTTCAGGCTGAGGTTTTCAAACGCAAGACAGAGGTGACCCTTGTGTTCAAAATACCGCTCGAACTTGACAATGTGCTTACGATTTTCAGGGTCAGCGTCATTTAATTTTTGTAAAATCGCGATCTCGGTGAAGCCACCCTTTCTGAGAGCATCGTTGTTCCGCATCATCTTAATGGCAACCAGTTTCTTACTTGTAATGTCGACTGCTCGAGCGACGCCGGAAAACATGCCTTTACCTAGGGTTGTTTGGACTTGGTATCGACCGTCCATGATCTCACCGATTCGGATTTTGTAGTATCCATCTTTATCGTCTCCCTCGAGAATGCCACCGGCATTGGGCTGAATAACAGCAAGAGGGGCTTTGTGGTCGTCTACGGTGGTGTCTAGATGAGTGGGTTTAGGGGCAGCAAACTTCTCTTCATCGAACTCTTCGGCGAACATGTCGAAGTCATCGTCATCGTCAGTCTTTGGCTTCTCTGCTGTTTGCGGCTCTTCTATTATAGCGATTTCGGCCTTCTCTTCGGGAGGAAGCGTCTCTCCGTGGGGACCAATGTGGCCATGCCGAAGCTCATCTCGTAATTCATCCTCTCTCATATCTACGGTTGGATCATAATCTGCAGCGGAAGGCCCATCATCATCAGTACCTTTAAATTTACCATGGATGTTGATGAGCTCTTGATCATTAGAAATTTCGATTGCAGCAGGTGACATTCCTTCTTGAAGGACACGAGCTGGCGAGTTCGGCGACGAGGTAACTGTGAAAAGGGTTAGATTACTTGATCTTATTATAGAGCCAGGAGATACTTACAAGAACCGGGCGTGTTTCCATCGACGACCATAGGTGTGCTTGCTCGTGTCCGCCCTGGTGAGGATACACTCGTCTTTTCAGAAGCTTGGAGAGCTTGGACTAGCATTGGCGTAGCACCGCGTGATTTGGCGAGAAGCTCTTCGCGACGTCGGCGTCGGCGCTCTAATTCTGCCTCTATGTCTTCAGGCTTCTCTTCGTAGTCCTTATCCGGTTCGCTGGGCTGAGTTGGAGGAGCTGTAAGAGTAGTTTCCTCCGAACTACCTGGTGCACGTTTAGTGTCATCTTTGCTAGTACCTTGTGTTTCTACCGAATCTTGTCGCTCATAATGCTTTGCATGATCTTGTGAATGCCGAGGGGTGCCTTGATAGCTCGATCTAACACTTCCTACGCTGTCTTGATCAGGAGCGCGTTGATGTCTGCCGTCGTCATACCGCAACTTGCCTCCTCGATTTCTATCGTTCGGTGGTCTATACGGAGAACGGGAGCGGTTTCTATGGCGCTTCCTAGGGTGGCGTTCACGGTCTCGGCTTCGATCTCTCCCTTTAGTACGAGTGGTGTAGTCTCGATCCCTATCGTCATAGTAGAGGTTGGGCGCCGACGAACGTGAAGGGGGGCGGTCCTCGTCATCGTACGACAAGCGCGACCGTCGGTAACCGTCGGTATTGTCTTCGTAGTGTACGCGAAATCGTCGCGGATCTGAATCTAGGCGGCTACTACGATGGGAATCACGATCATCGCGGGGACGCTTACGTCCGCGAGGAGAGCGACTTCGTCGAGAAGAGCCGGGGGCATATCTCGAGCCGTTCACATTATCGGGTGATCTTGATCTTGAATATCTAGCTCGAGTTCTGTCGATACGGTCAACACCGGTTCCATCAAACTGAGGCAGTGAAGTTGCCTTCAAGTCTCCAACGCCATTCTCTACAATCTCCCCCTCGTCAGAACTAGGAGGAGTTGCCATTTTTTGCTCACTGTATCAAGAAACTAGGCCTAGGAAGCGCAGGTATCTTCCCGATCTTGATATAAGGGAAATACTTGTCAGCCACAAAAATTTCGTTATTGGAGGTGCATAGAATTGAGCCGAACCGTCAGAGCGTCTCTTCAATTCCGTCGCATCGTAAATCAAAATATCGAATACGGGAAGGTGATATATAACGTCCGGCAGGGTATGTGGGATGCCGTGTAGTCAAAGCAAAGAGCTATTACGGGTATGGTGCTTCCGTTGAAGGGGTATGGGTGTGGATGTTCCTTATCCGGTAATTTATGAATCGCTTCAAGTCTTGGAGTGCATGTGGTGACGACGTGATAAAACAACTTACGTTAGATCTACTGCTGCGCCCAACGCCTCATAAACAGGAATTATGTATTACCGAGTCCGAGTTGCTTATCAAATGGATATCTGGGTTGGGGCTCAGCCTCTCTCGAAAATTAATGGCGCAGTCTTGGCATTCTCCCTCAGATTCAACACTACGTATTATATTCAAAATAACCACATTAAAAAATCGTAAAAATTTGGGGGAAAGGGTTATATGAATCTTCTACCATTTTCCTTTGGAAATCCTTTTTCAAAGACTTTTTATCTTAAAAATTGGTAAAGTTATAAGTATGGTAAGTATAAGTGTTATAGTTTTATACATTTTATTATATAAACACTTATTTCTTCGCCGCATTTCTATAGTAATAAAATAATAAAAATGATAGGCAGATAGAATAGCTTCTTACAAATAGAGTGCTATATATCATTATTATATTTGACTTTGTTTTGCTAGTATAATTGTTGATTATACAGAAGAGGTTCATATGCCAAGACTGCGCCATTAATTTTCGAGAGCGACTGGGGCTGTGCAAATCAAGACTAAATTTGGCCTAAACGCACGTGTGATTCATCCAGTCCGTGGGACGGCGGGATGGTGGGACGGTACCTAGTACTTCGTACCTTATGAATATAAGCTAATACGAGCTGGGATTAGTGCCATTGGACCCTTTCTTCGTTAGTGCCCCGCGGTCAGCACATCTCTTCGGCTGTTCCAGACTTTAGTTCCTAGGTTTTCTCTTTCCTTCGCGACAGCCTTTTTCTTCCGCCACTCGTAACGGATAAATACAATCCATCTGACTCCTCGTGTAAAAATCACCTCTATCAAAAACACCAGCACAAAAAAAAAAAAAACTCGTTCAAAATGGGTGGCCAGAACAGAGAAGGTAAATTGGAATCCATATTACGCTGAATAGACTTCGGCTGACAACGATGTTTTGTTAGGCGGCAAGGTCAAGCCCTTGAAGGCTGCGAAGAAGCAAAATAAGGAGTACGACGACGAGGACAAGGCTCACCAAGAGAAGCTAAGGCAGCGTATGTTCCTTGATGACGATTTAACATTATAGCCCGTCGCTAACCTCAATTAACAGAAGAGAAGGAGCGCAAAGAGATGGCCAAGATGGCTGGTGGAAAAGGACCATTGAGCACCGGTGGACAGGGCATCAAGAAGAGCGGCAAGAAATAAGACATGCAATCCTACGATCATACGATTCACGGAAAAGTGACGAAGCTATGGTGCCGAGAACATGGATGCATAGAGCGTGGGCGCTTACGGATGGATGTCTTTTATACAATAGCCAGGGCTAATGGGAATACTTTATCGCGATGACTTTCAATATACCTTCTATTCCACCTGATATATATGATATCTACCTACCTAAGTAAAACACTACGTGATATTATACGCTAGACTTTTCTTGATCGTCGTATAAGTCGTCCCAATAGCACCGAGTAAAAGAAACGAAGGAACTAAAGAGTTTTGGCCCACCCAAGTGAAAACAGCTGTCAGGCTGTCAGGACTTTCACCGGTGCCACTAATTTCTCAACAAAACTTACGAGACTTACACGGCCCAACGCTTCCTTGCAAAGAAAAGAGCGTAGACAAACGTGAAAAGCATCAAATTACAAATTTATCTGTATTTCTTGTATTTGCTCTTAGTATGGTATAGCAGTAATAATCTAAAGACCCTTGCATATCATGGCCGACACACATCCGGACTCCGGCCTCCGGAAGCGCCGCGCAAGCTTCGTACAAGCCGCCAAGGATGTAGAGCAGAAGATCGCCTCGGCGTTACTTGTGCTGTGGGACGACCTGCCGTCCTGGCGGCGCGATAACCATTACATCGTCTCGGGATACCGTCCGGATAGCAACAGCTACTGGCGGTCCTTCACCTCGCTCTTCTACATCCATAACGATTTCGTTAACATCTGGACGCATCTCCTCGGTGCCATCTTCTTTACCTCTGCGGGAGCTTGGTTGTATCATGTCATCGCACCTCGATACGTATCCGCAAGCAGCTCGGACGTGTTGGTGTTCGCTTGTTTTTTCGCCGGCGCAATTCTGTGTCTCAGCATGAGCGCTACATTCCGGTATGCGTGAAAACCCCCACTGCCCCTCCCTGTGGCCGGCTATGAGCTATAGCCTCTGGTTTGAAGTTATTTGCTTGTAGGTTTACTAATTGGTGAGCAGTAAGTCGTCAGTACCTTGCTCTATCATGGTATTCTATAATACTATTCAGGGGAATTTTGGAGGATAACGTATCACTCCGTCTAGATGCTCGTGAAGATCCCTAACATACAATAGACACAGTTTTGAACCATTCCGAGGAAGTCGCGAAATGGGGGAACAAGCTGGATTACTCGGGCATCGTCTTTCTTATCGTGGGGAGTTACGTTCCAGCCCTCTATTACGGTCTATTCTGTATACCGAAGCAAATGACGATCTATTTGTACGGGGTATGTGTACCTTTATTGTTTAGACCACGTTAAGAACAGTCCATCTATATATCTCTCATAAGAGGAACGCAAGTTCTAGTACTAAAAGATTCTCTTTCCGTATAGATATTCCTCCTAGGCTTTGGCTGTGGCGTAGTGTCCTGGGTCGAGCAGTTCCGGACACCACGTTGGAGACCCTACCGAGCGGCCATGTTTGTGGGCTTGGGTGTATCTGGAGTTGTCCCTGTCTGCCATGCGCTTCGTATATACGGTTATCAGACACTCAATGAGCGCATGGGTCTTAATTGGGTTTTATTCCAAGGGTTTCTATACATCTTTGGAGCGTTTCTCGTAAGTATCCTCTGAAATTTCCCATCACCTCCCTTCTTAGAGCCCTTTGCAGGCTGGAATATGTCTACGGACACAGCATCTTGTAAAATTTTACCCAAAGTTATACGAGTAAAAACCGCTAACTTTAGAGTGATATAGTATGCAGTGAGTTAATGAAATATCTACATACCGCTGAAAAAATACTAACACTTATATGGGTTCGATGGCCTGAACGAAGTTTTCCACGGACCTTTGACATATGGGGTAGCTCTCATCAGATATTTCATGTCCTCGTCTTACTTGCGGCCGCATCACATTTGACCGGCATGATTAAAGCGTTTGATCACCACCATAGTATCATGGGGGGAGAATGCTAAAACGTAACCGACAATATATTGAGGCTACTGCGTTCCTTACCACGAGGCGCCATTTATAGGATCCGGAGAGCTAGCCGCCTGAGATAGTCCACAATGGAGCCAGTGTGGTTTTGGAGACGCATCCTTGTCTCCCTCTCGGGGAAGTTGACTAGGTATGTATACGCGGAAGTCGCTACGTAATGTGTACTATATCCGGGATCGATGGTCTTCAACGGTAGATTGCAACGGACGGCGAGTATGGATATTATGCAATTATAATGGAGGTCGGAGTTGAGTATATACGAATAGTCCTGTTCGTTCTGATAGCATGCCTGTACTATAGACTAAACGGGGAGCCATTATACCACAAGCGTTCTATAAAACTATTCCTTAGGAAGAGCAATTGATAGAATCTGGCACGACCGAACCCGTACATGGTCAAGTTGCTGGATACCTATATAAGTGTAGGTGCTATTAACTCGTGGCTTCTTAGGTGCCTTTGCGTCTATATATGATTTGGTGGCCACGCAAATTGCTGCAAAGTTGTTCTTGTACCCTGCACTGCTTTATCATAACTCATTCAACCAACTCGAAATCGCCATCTGGGCCATCACCCATTTCGATGTCTCCATTGCGACTATCATCATCATGGTCAAGATTTGGCTCGGCCAGTTCTAGCCCCTCAGGGTGCTCTTCTGGCTCCTCTCGAGTATTCTCGATGCCAAGATCCATGACTCTCACTAGCCCGGACCCCATTGCTGCCGCGGCCCACCAGCTAAACTCCACGTTTGGATTCCAACATAAAGCCGTAATGCGGGTTTGGGACTCGTGGACAACAATAGGGGCTGGAACCATAGTGACGTAATCCTCATCTGACTCCGCTGGATCTTCAAATAGTTCTTCATTTTCCTGTTTCTGGGTTTTCTTACCAGCCGCTTTCCTCTCCCCTCTAGCACGCTTGACTCTACTCTCCTTCGCGATCCTCGTGCCTAGAGGATGAAAATTGACTTGAGGTAGAAATCCATGGAGGATACGACATCCCCCACGGAGCGGAATTTGCTCATTGTTGTCATTCATAGCATCAGGAGGTGGGGGCGCAGCATATTCATGCTGAAAGATTTTAATCTTATGTGTTTTCTCCCTGTGCGATAAAACTTTGCGCATAACGTTAAGAGACCAGACTGATCCATCTGAGCTTCCAACGAGAAGGCATGGGTGACATGTTCCAAACGCAAGACAACTCGTCTGGCCCTCTACGGTGCATATATGACGGGAAAGAGGGAATACCCGAGAATGTACGAAAGAAACGGTTGATGTTCCCGGAAACGAAGTAGGCCATATAGATGCGAAACCCCTCAACTGGTCGCTCCAAGAAAGGACGTTTGGTTGCAGGGAAACCAACGGGTTTCCATGGTATGTCTTCTCTGCAGTAGGTCGGTTTAAGTCGGTCAAAGTGAATACACCCCCCATGGGCATTGTCGCAATAAGAAAGGGTTTAGAGGGGTAACCGGATACAATGTCCATAATAGGGCTCGAGTGAATGGGATGACGTTGTAATTGCTGGAAGGGCGAAACTGACCATACTACCACGGAGCCGTCAGAAAGGCCAACAGCAATACGGTTCATATTCAGCCAGGAAAAGCAATTTATTTCCAGAGTATGTTCCTTAGGAGGCTCTATAGTGACCATCGGCTCCTGCATTTCTTCTGCTAAAATATTAGTAATCTCCGAGGCTCTCCTATTATATTCTAGATCCTTACCAAAAGTACCAATGCTATCTCTCTCTGGGTCTCGCTTGATTTCCATGATCCTCAACTTTCCATCTCCACACAACGCAGCCAAGAGAGCTATGCCATGTGTAATGGTGAGCGGGACAGGACACCACTGCATTCGTTTTACTCTTCCCCAATAAAAGCATATTGCATGTATTAATTCTGGAGAGCATCGCGCTGGTCGACTGATCCCTCCCGAGTCCTTTTCGGCCTTAAATTTCCAAATCTGAATGGTCCCTTCTTTTAGCTCTGACTGCTTTGGTGCATTATTTAGATCCCTATAAAAGGCTTGGTCCGAATGTGGGATGACTGACATAGCTAGGAGCTGGTCTACGTGGTCTTTGACTGGAGCCCATCCCATAGAAAGGACGATGCCCCCAACATCAAGCAGCCAGCCGCCGTTCTGTAGCTCATTATTGTTTTCATCCTCGATTGGAAGTCCAGAATCTGATAATGATATGCATTCTCCTTGCTTAATGAGGTGTTCTTTCTGACTCGATACATGACCGAGTAACACGCGCATCTCGCCGTCGGTTCGTGGAAGAAACCACCGGAACGCCTTCGCCTTATCTATAAGAGTTGATCTTTGCGATCTAGTTCGTATGGCTAGATATCTCTCATACCAATGGCGATACTTGTTTTCGATGTGCTGGGTGAAATCACTGGGCATCCACCCGTTCCGCGCTACCTCTAACTGGTGGGATCCTCGTGGAAGCTTAGGGGGTAAAAGCTGAAAGTTGAACCACAGTTTCATGAATTCATTGAATATTTCCCTGCGGTCTTCCATATCACCAAACCAATAATCGACCAGGTATTCAAGCCGCGTCCATCTTTTGACTGGGCCAACGTAAGTCCTTGTCCATTTCTGTGCAGGGTCTGTTGGGTAAGGCTGTACCTCGCCAAGTGATTTGGCAGGATTGGGTGCCCAGGAGCGTCTGTTTTTCTTGCGCCTTGACTCAGATTGCCTGCCATCTTGTGATTCAAAATCCGAAGAATCCTGAGGATCATCGTCCTGCTCATCTTTGCGATTTAGCGGTTGGGCGTCTACGACGAATTCGTCATCAGACAAATCGCGGGCTTGTCCAGTCAAACCCGATTGTTCTCCATCGGAAAGATCGAGAGTTAGGCCATTGTTAAAGCGTTTCCCTTGATTTGATTTCCGAAGTCTCATCGTGGTTGTCTTAGCGGCATCTACAGCCAAGACACATGCAGTCGCGTATGATTTTAATGCACGTGTATGCAATACATTGAAAGAAAGCTAGGCGCTTGTCGGATTCTTGTCTAGATATAAGACGCTACCTGATCTGGATTAAAAAAGTGTTTTTATTTGATCGTTGACAAAAGTGCGAAAATGATGAATGCTTCAATGTTGTTGTTAACTTTAAGGAAGTACGAAGCGACAAACCCCATAGTGGGGCAAGTAACTAAAAAGTTCCCAATGCGGTGGTTGTAGTAAACCCTATTCGTTGGTGAAACAAATCGAAGACAGGACTATGATAAACTCTCTTCTGAATTAGGTACATTGGTATACAGTATTCGCATAATATCATATATTATGTAAGTGCCTATATATATATGTATAGATGTATAGATAAAATGTAAAGGATACCTACCTGCTTAAATTAGGTACTTCATAAATGGCATTCACTAGACAAATCATGTAACAACTACTCAAAATATATAAACCAAGGCTTAACAGACACTACCTAACAGTAATGACGGACTTCGAAATAGTTCCATCCTCTACTACTTTGAACACCTCATTACTTAGGTATTCATATTAAATTCACATCGCGTTGGACTACCACTTGGTTTTCAACTATCGAATAACTACCTGACCTAGTAGTTCACGTAATACATAGCATAGACATCTGGTTCTCTTGAAAGCACGCAAGCGATATGATGAGCATTACATATATCCCCATACTCCAACGATGTATTATATAAGTAAGATATAGCCTCTTACTCAATTGCTTCAATTTGATCGTCTACATAAGATCACGTAGTTTTATTACTAATCAAGTCGCAAACTTACCCTAGGAATTAGCCATGACCATACCATACCGCAAAGTATATAAGACTCGAACTCTCCCATGGCAAGGTGTCAACATGCTAGTCCAAACTAGAAATCCTTCCCATTAAAAGGAGGAGTCTTGCTACAATCCATCATTTGATACTTAGGTAGCTATGTAGGTATGTATATAATGACTTGGATATTCGAGCTTCATACTGAATTTACTCTCATGTGAGTGGATAGCCAATGACGCACATATTCTCTAGAAGTCCAAGAATTAATTTAGTACGTAGGTAGTCAGCACGGATAGATGACGAACATGTCTCGACGCCAAGTTATATTTGACGTTAGAAAAGGATCCGGTGCTACTGGTCAACTGAAGATCGATCTGATGTTCTAGACCCCTAAAGGGAAATCACTGAATCGGGGTGTGGGGACCAATCAGTAGCTAAATAAATTTTTCGGGAAAATGCCGATATCGCCAATCGCCACCGAGCTACTGGTTTCGGGGCAGGTACGGCAGAAAACGGTAGCGTACATGTACTACCTAGCAGCAGCAGCGGCAGGCACTTGCACGGACCCCTGAGGGCCTGAGGGCCCCTCCCTTGCATACCCCACAATCTTTGTTTCTTCTTTTTTTTTTGTGTTCCGCTGTCGGGTTCACTGAATTGAATTTAGTTCTATGACTCTTGAACTAAACTAATAAATCTTCCAATAATCGTATCATCTTTTGCCATTGATCAGTCGACCTACTCCTAACCAAGGTGCTGGCGGGTAGTGTTTGAGGATATCTTACCATAAATTGATTTCGGCTCGTTGATACCCTCAAAATTCTTGTTGGCTATTATTTCTTATCCTTTTTCTATTTTGCCATCTCCCCTCTTTGTGCCATGCTTCGTTCACGGCAAGCTGGCCAAGCCTTAAAGGCTCTGGCTCAGACTTCGCGACAACAACGTCGCTTTCTTACTACCTCGTCTATCTCTTCCGTTGTCCCGACCAAGAAGAATGCCCCTACAGGTGTCAGAAGTCAGGCTACTTCGGCTCAGTCGTCTGCGTACGTTAATATCCTTTTCTCACTTACTCGCTTTCTATCCGGTGGCTATTTTCCACGTATACTTATTCTACCTTAAACTATACCACTGACATCATATATCATATAGTCAAGTTAGACCAACCCCGGCTTCATCCTTCAACACCACCGATACGAAAGACCGAAACTATGTTCAACCATTGGTCAATCCTCGAGCTCCTGAGATGGACGAGTCGTATGTTCTATATATTCTGACCTATTTCGTTAGAGCCCACGATGCTAACCAAGTATTTCTAGGTTCATTGGGAAGACTGGAGGAGAGATCTTCCACGAAATGATGCTTAGGAGGGGTGTTAAGCACATATGTACGTTGCATACACGCCTACGTAGTATTCAAAATGATGTCTAATATGAGTCACAGTTGGCTACCCTGGTGGAGCTATTCTACCGGTATTTGACGCCATTTACAACTCGAAACATTTCGAATTCATCTTACCAAAGCATGAACAAGGCGCCGGACATATGGCCGAGGGCTACGCGCGTGCTTCTGGAAAACCTGGGGTCGTACTAGTCACTTCTGGTCCAGGTGCCACCAACGTCATTACTCCAATGCAGGACGCCTTATCTGATGGTACACCATTGGTTGTTTTCTGTGGCCAGGTTCCTACGAGTGCGATTGGAAGCGATGCTTTCCAGGAAGCAGACGTTGTGGGAATATCGAGATCTTGTACCAAGTGGAACGTCATGGTCAAAAACACTGCCGAATTACCGCGACGCATCAACGAGGCCTTCGACATTGCGACTAGCGGACGTCCAGGTCCCGTACTCGTCGATCTACCTAAAGATGTTACTGCTGGTGTCCTAAGAAGGGCCATCCCTACCGAATCAGCCATCCCAGGCTTACCTAGCGCAGCGTCGCGTGCCGCCATGGAAATTTCTCAAAAGCAGCTTCAAGCCTCTCTTCGCCGAGTGGCTGATTTAGTGAATATCGCCAAGAAACCTGTTATCTATGCTGGCCAGGGGGTTGTATCGTCGATCGGTGGACCGGAGATCCTCAAAGAACTCGCTGATAAGGCTTCGATACCTGTTACCACGACCCTCCTCGGTCTCGGTGCTTTTGATGAGCTGGATGAGAAATCACTCTACATGTTAGGCATGCACGGCTCAGCGTTCGCTAACATGTCGATACAAAATGCCGATCTTATCATTGCTCTTGGCGCCCGCTTTGATGACCGTGTGACCATCAATGCCACCAAATTTGCGCCTGCAGCCAAGGCTGCAGCTGCCGAGGGTCGTGGTGGTATCGTGCAGTTTGAGGTTATGCCAAAGAACATTAACAAGGTTGTGCAAGCAACCGAAGCTATCGAGGGCGACGTAGCAGAGAATCTCCGACAGCTTCTTCCTTTAATCAACATAAGGAGCATGTCGGACCGTAAGGAATGGTTCAGCCAGATCGATTCGTGGAAAGCAAAATGGCCTATGACTGACTTCGAGCGAACCGAGCGAGCGGGGATGATCAAGCCACAAATTCTAATTGAAGAACTTAGCAAGCTGACAGCCAACCGGAAAGAGCACACGATTCTCACGACAGGCGTTGGCCAGCATCAAATGTGGACGGCGCAGCATTTCAGGTGGAGATATCCTCGGACCATGATTACATCCGGGGGCCTCGGTACTATGGGATACGGACTTCCCGCTGCAATCGGTGCTAAGGTCGCTCGACCTGACGCCCTTGTTATCGATATCGATGGTGACGCTTCGTTTAACATGACCCTAACAGAACTGTCAACCGCTGCACAATTTAACATCGGTGTTAAGGTTATCGTCCTGAATAATGAGGAGCAGGGTATGGTGACCCAATGGCAAAACCTTTTCTACGAGGACCGATACGCCCACACACATCAGAAGAATCCCGACTTCATGAAGCTGGCCGACGCTATGGGAGTCCAGCACCGAAAACTCGTCAAACCTGAAGACACAGTGGAATGCCTAGAATGGCTCATCAACACCGATGGCCCGGCCTTCTTAGAGGTCATGACAGATAAGAAGGTACCTGTGCTTCCCATGGTACCTGCGGGATCAGGTTTACACGAGTTTTTAGCATGGGACGGTGGTAAGTATATCGTCTCCCCTATATCCCATCCACGAGCGGTTAATTAACAAGTAAAATAGAAAAAGATAAGAAACGCAGAGAGCTTATGCGCGCCCGAACTTGTGGATTACACACCTAATTATATGTTTTACCTGAAATTTATTGCATCGGTAGTTAGCGATTATGTTTTACTTGGGACCGTCATGGAGGGAGGTAGCTAAGAGGGGTTTGAAGCCATCATAAAAAGGCCGAGTTTGGCGACAAAAAGGAACCGAAAAGTGAGTTTTTTTTAGCTTTGCATCTAGCATCCATGTTAGAGGAAACCTGGCAAATAGTCGGCGTTGCTATCGGTGCATGCTTGGCCTTCTTGTATATGTATATATTCTGCATTATGAGTTCAAATTTCGAGGTTATCAGGGACAATGGTACTTTATAATACCCTTAATGGGCATTAACCATCATGTTGGCAATGGTCATTTATTTTTGAGACACTCTCAGCCGTTTACATACACCCACTTGAAATTGCGCGAATGATAATGCTGCCACTCATAAGAATACATTAGTTAAATTGATATGTTCCGTACGGGAAAAGGCCACAGTTCTGTTATGTTAACAGGCTTTACGAAAGGTACTTAGACCATAGACAGAACCTACATGGGTAGATTGTTGGCTCGTCCAGTTTAAGAACCTAAAAAGCGTGCCCAATTTAGGGGTGAGTATATCTATGAATTAATAACTCTATGTTGAACGTTATATATCAAGAGGTAATTTGGGTTTGCAACGTAAACATAGTATATCGTAGGTCATTATTGTCAGCTACAGTTCAGTAGATATTTAATTTATTAAATCATTAGTAATGTGTGCATACTGCTACTGCTATAAATTGTATTGATTTAAACTAGGTCTTGAAAGAAGACGCAGTGACACGAATAGACTATTCTGTGCAAAAGGGGGGAGAAAACTAGAGTGGTAATGAAGTGTTTCCATAGGGCTGGAAAATATAATTTGGGCTTCGCCACTAAACTTTTAGTTTAGTTTTTTAAAACTTTGTAGTTTGTTTCGGAATGAGCGTAGTTATGTACGTACCTGATGCTCGTGCACCTCGTCGTCGCCTAGCGTACCTAAGTACATGCAAAGGTACAACCGTGTCACTGGCAACCGAACTTAAGCATATAAGTGCCAATAATTGCAGTAGCAAGTACAGTTGGCATACCGCGTTTCTAAGAGCGTTTGGCTCAACCGGTCACTGCCCAGACACGACAAGGTCTCGAGGATAGCTGGGAAGCTTAGAGATCTATTCCTGAAAAGGAGTCGCAAACAAATACCAAATTACCCGTCTCGCAGACATCCTCTCTAGGCTATCCACCAAATAGAGAAGATGTATGACGCCAGATTGAGAGTAAAGGGGCGCAGTAGCTACGGGCACTATAGTTCCAAGGCTGGGCCTGGAGGACGATTCCTCTTTTGCCATTTTGGTTTACATGTGACCGCGCATTTTCTATCACTGAAGGTCATCGGTTCAAATCCATGCGTAGCAATTTTAACATTCTTTTTTTTCTTGTGCTCTGTTTATTTTTGCCCTACCCAACCAACTTTCGATCCGCAACTCCTTTTCATCCTCCTCCTAAGCAACTACCTACCATAGCGGCAGAATGTAGGTTCGTGGAATGGTTCCAACCCATTACAATGATTCCATGTATAATAATGTTTCAATTCAGACCAAATGATTCCATAAGGCTTACAATGATTCCACAAGGCTTACAATGATTCCATAAGGGTTGGAATGATTCCAAAAGGGTTGGAATGATCTCAAAAGTGTGGAATGCCCAGAAAAGTGGGTCCAAAAGTTGAAAAAACGCTAAAAATTTGAAAAGACTGGTCCTCGAACCCATAGCTCCCGCGTTACCCCACAGTGGGGTGTTTAAACGTTTGAGCTAATGGGACGAGGTGGCCAGTCTCATCGAATTAGTACGAAAGTTTAATTGATTTTTACCCTTATAAGCTTTACATTGGAAAAAACTTAATAATTTTTATTTAAAAAAAATATAATGGAACCATTCCACTTTTGGGAACCATTCCGACATTTGCGGAATGGTTCCAAGCTTTGGCCCACTTTTAGCACCTATCATCCAATTAAAAGCCTTAAATTGGCAGTGGGTTCCGCATTTTATTAGGCCATTCCAATTTTAGCAATCATTCCACGAAACCACATTTTGCCGCTATGGTAGGCAGCCATTTGTAACATCATACCACACACAATAAGTAATAATTTACTTGCTGGAAATAGAATCTATACATGCGCAAACATGAATGTTTCTTGAGTTTATTATTTACATTACATATTATATTTTCAACACTTGCATTAAATTAAATAGAAAGAAAAAAAAAAGCAAAAAAGACCATTGCTTAAAATGCCAACTACCTCACAAAAATGAAATAAGGCTAATTTCCCCCTCTGCCCCCGATAATATCTTCTAAGAATCTTCTAAGAACAAATCCTACATAATATTCCTACGTTTTATACTTGTCGTATATATTTAAGCAAAGCCCCTGAACCGGTATATCCCAAGTTGTATCGGTGTTAGAAACCCGCTGTCGGCTCCGAATTCCCACTTAAACTAAGCGGAATGGCCCTGGAACCGAGAATCACTAGCCGCAATAGGAAATCTCGCAAAGCGAGAACGGCTAGCAACGTCGTATGAGCCGCTCGATATGCCTAATGTCCCTCTCCGAACTGAGAGCTATTTAAGCAACGGGGACCCGGTGTAAATGGATAGGGAAGTTTTTTTTTTTTGACGTCTTCACGAGCCAAAAGTCAGCTTACCGGGTCCCCATATCGCTATGTCGGAAACCTCATCTCGCACCAGCCACAGCAACAACGATATCGAAGCCGCGGCGGCGGAAAAAAATGTAGAAGAAGATGGCTTCGAGGCGAGATCAAATTCGCCGGAGAAGGATAAGAGAGCTCAGGATAAGGAGGAGTGTAATAATAATCCCGGCCTGTTAGCTGAGCCCCCGAGTGAGCAGCCCGTCGTCGACCAGCGGCCAAACTACTCGGCGTTTACAGAATGGGAGAAAAGGGGCATCGTGCTTGGCGCTGCCATCGGCGCCTTCTTCTCGCCTCTCACGGCGCAGATTTACCTGCCCGCACTCACCGTCCTGGCTCAGGAATTCCACGTTACGTCCAGTCAGATTAACTTGACTGTCACTACTTACATGGTACGTCGAAAAATCGGAGAAAGGGGGTGTTTATTTAACGTGACTCGTTAGAGTGGATCGTATCCCGGGCAGTGGTGCTAATAGGTTATTCACGCGCAGATTTTCCAAGGGATTACTCCGATGTTCGTCGGGTCCTTGGCGGATTCCGCGGGGCGCCGGCCGGCTTACTTTATATGCTTCGTCATATATATCTGTGCTAATATCGGATGCGCCCTAGCGCCTAGTTACCCAGCTCTGCTGGTCCTCCGCATGCTGCAGTCAGCCGGTTCTAGTACGACCGTGGCGCTCTGTCAAGCAGTTGTCGCCGACATCATTACCTCGGCTGAAAGGGGCCACTATGTCGCGTACACCTCTCTGCCCATTCTCCTAGCGCCAGCCATAGGTCCTGTGATTGGCGGTGTATTGTCGCAGGAAGTTGGCTGGCGTTTTATCTTCTGGATCCTCGCCATCTTGGCCGCGGTGGTTTTTATCGTCCACGCATTTTTCCTGCCTGAGACATGTCGAGAGATCGTGGGAGATGGGTCGATCCGCCCGCACCCCGCCTACCGAACGTTCTGGCAACTGTGCAAAGATGCCTTGCGGCGACGCCGTGAACACCGCCGTCAACAGTCCGGTGGCGCTCCGCTGGCTCACACGCCATCACGCGCATCGACGAAACGCAGCCTCCACGTGAAGAAATTCGACGTCTGGAAATCAATCACGATTCTTCTCGAGAAGGAAATGTTCCTCCTGCTCGGGTACGGTGGTATTGTTTTCACGGGATTCTACTGCGTTGCTACCGTCATGCCCACACAACTGGCTGCTAACTACGGCTTTGATGAGATCAAGGTGGGACTTATGTACCTCCCTATGGTAGGCGGTAGTATAGCTGCCGCCCTCGTGAACGGGAAATTGATGAACTGGAATTTCCGGCGACATTGTAAGCTACAGGGCGTTCCATTCGAACGTAGCAAGCAGCAAGACCTATCCGGGTTTCCGATTGAGCGTGCCAGGCTCGAAATTGGTATTCCGATGCTTGCCCTGTGCATAGCATGTATAATCGCCTGGGGTTGGGCATTCGAATATCATGCACACGTGGCCGTGCCATGTGTCCTGCTATTCTTGTTGGGTTGGGCTGTAGTTGGATTCAGCAACACGCTCAACGTACTGCTTGTTGACGTGAACGTGGGCAGTGCAGGAGCTGCTACCGCGAGCAATAACTTAACTAGATGCCTAATTGGCGCTGCAGCGACTGCGGTGATAGGGCCCATGATAAACGGTGTTGGTATTGGATGGGCATTTACGATATTGGGCTTTATATATATAGCTTTCTCGCCGATGCTATTTTTTATCCTTAAGTATGGGATCAAATGGCGAAAGGAGAAACATGAGCGTGAGCTCGCAAAGAAGCAGAATGGCGTCAGTGCTGGAAAATAGAATAGACAGATAAATAGCGCGCTTCCCCGGATGGGATAGGTATAGATCACGACGATTTGCAACGTAGTTGACGTTTTAGCTATATTTTAGTTTAAGCACTTACAATATTATTTAATTAAATTCAGTAAGTAAGAGGTAGGTAGTTAATTATACACGATGACCAATCATCTACTTTTACGGATAACTCATGCTCTCTCCCCTTATTCAAACATTATACATTAGGTAGTAATTTGTTAATATAATCAGAGTGTGTACCTGTGTCTTCTTCGCAAGTGCGGACATAGGCGATTGATATTTTACAGATTTCAAGATAATACATTTTCTTATCTTACATGGTTTCTAATTGTTCCGCGGTCGTGAATCTAAGATGTCTAGGTAGACTTCAACTTCTCAAGTCATAATCCCCGTCTCTTGCCTAGCCTGCTCACTTTCGCGGCACGCTTCTCTTTGCTGTGCTTTCTCATCTACTGTAAAGTCACTTTTAGCTTTTCCAACCCTGATGAAGCCCAAGACTAGCAAGATGACTCCAGCTCCACATCCGACAGCGAACCAGAAAGCCACCTTATAGCTTTCTCCAAGTCCGTCGCTCGATCTACTAATGACAGCAAAGTCCGCCCAAGCGAGAAAAAAGCTGATTCCCAGGTATACCAAACCATTGATACATGCTCCTGCTAAGCCTTGCTGATGTTTGGGGACGTTGGTAGTAATGAAGATATTGCTCACGTTGAAGCTAATATTAATACCTATTGTAGTACACACCATTGCTGGGAAGACCCACCGCCAATAACTAGGATTTTCGGGGATAAGGGCGAACAGGAGAACACACATTACCAAACCTACCCCAGCCAGGAGGAGAAGTATAGTTCCAGGTAAGCGATGGAGTATTAATCCACCTATGAGAGCGATGATGATCCCACCGGCAGCCATGGGAGAGAACCAAAGTGCGGCGAGTAAAGGTGGGACTTCGAGGACAGTCTGTATACTAGTAGAAGTTAGTATTGGATTTGTGACTTGGATTGCAAATGGGGCAAGGACTTACTAAAAACTTGCGTAGAAGAGGTATATGCCAAAGCAGCCACACGCCATGAAGAGGGCGAGGAAGATTGGTCCGATGTACTTGATAGAGAATAAGTCCAAAGGCAGTAGAGGATTATCGGCAACCCATCCTTCCACATAAATAAAAGCCGCAAGGGCTATAAGCCCAAGTATAAATGTAACGATGATCTGAGGGGAAGCCCAGTGACCTTCAACGTGGGAGGCATCGGTGATAGCGTATGTAAGTAGACTCAAGCTGCAAACACTGGTAAGACAACCCCACCAATCCATTAAAGACCAGTCGCCGCATTTCCACTCGCGAGGAACGCAGAAAAAAGTCATCAAACACAAGAAAGCCAGTAGTATAGATGCAATCCAAAAAAACCAACCCCAGTAAAGGAACTGGCTGGTGAGGCCCGCAACGAGGATACCAGAGAAGAAACCCAGGGGCGCGCAACCCCCGTATAAGCTGAATATAATGTTCTTTCGTGGACCGGGGCGGTAAATGGTTCCTAACAACGTCGTACCAGCAGGTAGGTAGGCAGCTGCTCCCATTCCTTGGAGAGCTCGACTCGCCAAAACCATCGGCAAGGTGCGGCTGAATCCTCCAACCACCGACCACAAGGTTAGCCATGATAGCCCCCCGAGGTAGATAGGGTAGCCGCCGAACATATCGACAAGCCGGCCAAAGGGGAGTAATAATGAGCCGGTGACGAGGGAGAAGACGGTGATGGGCCAGGTCCTCTGGCTAGGGTCGATACCTGTGTCTTCGATGAGGACCGGGAGCAGCACGCTAAACCCACTGACAAGGAACTCCCCCATCATCACCGAACCGAGAACGGATATACAGAACCCAGCTTCAACCCAGCCATTAGCAAAAATTGAAGGTCTACTCTTTCCAAGCTTCTCGGTATCGATAGGACCATCATGAGAGGACGAAGACGATACGCCCTGGCTGCCCGAGGGGATTTCTGGAGCTATAGCAGCCGCTGACTCTATATCGGTAACCATTTTGATGGTTTAGTCGTCCTCCGGGAGTGGGGGGATATATCGCAAGAACAGCGATTGGATTTAGGATGTCGAACGGCCTCCAATACAGGAAGATTACTTCGCGGTAGTAGGATTACAGCCATAGTATCCATGATGAAGTGCTGTATTTAAGTGTATTTAAGAAAGTAGATAGTGTCTGTGGAATTTGGGACTGGAAAGGGAAGCGGTTGTGAGTGGTGGAGTATGACTACATCTCGCGATCACCGAAGAGGGAGCCAAGATACAAGACATGTGTCTAAAGTTTTTCCTCGATCTTGAATGGCCAACCCCGTGCTGAATGAAGCATGTCACTAGCAATGGAAAACTACCTCCCTAGCTATGACGTGTATGTAGTCTTAGGATAAGGATCCTACTAGAGTGCTACTAGAATTTCTCTAGTATATATCCGATCTATAGCGGAGCAAGTATCAGCGGACACAGTCTAGATGCGATTCTGACTTTGACTTACACTTCAAACCTAGTAGTTGATCATGTCTACCTAATTAGGAAGCCAAGCAACACATCTATATAGTAACCAAACATGGCACATAGTACATGACTGGTGGATAAGTTGATCGGCAGTGACCTCATCGGCACCAGCACCTCATGTATAACGTGCTCGACAAGGTGAGACAATATTGAAAAACCCCTTAATAGAACTAGAACTTACGGCCCTGGTATTAGATAGGATATATAACATCCCGATGTGTCGTCCGACGATCAAGCTGATCTCGTCTTAGAGTTTCGTTTTGCCTCCCAAAGAGCGTATCCCTGAGTAGTAACAAGAGTCGAGGCGACTGTTTCTAAAGAAGTTGGATAGACAGACTGGCGGGATACTACGCCACGAGATCGTTAATTATCTGATGAAGGGTGATCATCCAACGGCCATGTCTGGGCGGTTTTCCCCATTGCCTTGTGGATTCTCGTATAAATAGACCACGGTATACAATAAACTATTCGATACCTCTATTACCATCTGCTTCGTTTCTGGTCTTCCGCGCAGGCCGTTATCCATTCATTTACTCGAATTTCTTGAGAGTATAATTTATTTTGATTCGTTTCGTTATATCCGCTTCTAGAAAGTAGGTGTATTTAGTAGCGCGACTGGTTCGCACCGGATTTTACGTACCTAAAATTTCCATTGTTCTCTTCTCTTTGACTTGTTGGGGGTGGCATATCCGATAATTACATACTAACCTTGGCTTATAATGAATGCCTCGGCGTCGCTCCGAACTTCCCTCTACGGGCTCGATGGCCCACTCGGCTTGCCTCCTCAATCGAAACGACATACGGTGGCCGGCGATGTCGAGGCTCTCCGATGGCGTAGGACTCTCGCACCAGTCAACTACGCCCATTATAGCTCATATTACCGGCAGATAAAAGAGGAGGTTAGCCGAGAATCCATCTTCGAAGTCGAACAGGCTTCAAAGCCTCTCATGATAAGGGATCAAATAAACGCTTCTTGGCGCTCTCCTTTTCGTCCCCTGCGACACCCTTGAGCCCGTCGAATCCGAGACCGAGGATGGTAGTACGAAGACATATAAGCCGGCTCTTATTGGCGGCAGCCATGTTCTTCTTCGCGAATATGCGTCTTCTCATATGGCTGCAAGACCGTTGGTATAAGCCTAAGCTAGGCTCGGCTTCCTGGCAGGCGGCATTTTGGAGTTCTGTTGGCTCCATCAACTTTGCACTTACCGGCTTCGCCCTTTTTATGGAGGATATGAATAATTTAATAATTGCTAACTTTGTTTGTTCATGGCCATTTTTGATTGGTTCTATCTTCCAGTGGTATGATCTCATGGCATTCCACCCAGACGACTGGGTGACTTAAGCTAGGGAAATCCCGGTGACTTAGGTACCCAACTAGGTACCGTCTCATCGTGTGAGATTATTGCAGGGTTATTGCAGGGAATTTCGCTCTCGTTTGAAAACGTAGTGATACCTAAGTGGGCGAATGCTAATTAAGAACATTATGGAAGGGAGGGTTGCCCTACCTTAGGTACTTAGGCACCTAAAGTACCTAGTAGAATATTTATTTAAAATATTGTTGATTGTCAGTGACGAAAGACGTGGGGAAGCGGGGTTATGGTGGGAATTTCATCAAGGAAATGTCGGTTGGTCGGGTCCTTCTGTACCTAATTGACGGTGGCCGGCCAATTGCTCGGCGCGGTTGTCCGCGGGGTATTCTCAATCTTAGCTAAGGTGGGCAGGTATTGTACCTCACGATAATCATGGGAAAAGTAAACATTTTTACGATCTTGTGACATGTGTCTTTGGTTTATCCTACAACTATATATTTATTTCATTGCATCTTCTAATTCTTCAGTATTCTCTTCTTGTAAATACTATAAAATATAAAACATAAAATATAAAACAGATATAAACCATCCTCGATTGTTACCTCTTTGGCAGTTTGTTTAAGCAAACTTGAAGCTAAAACTTGCTAACGATAGAATTTATTAACCAAGATAAAGAAATAAGTATAAGGCAAACACACATCATCCCTTGAAGCTCGAAGCGGGGCATCGACACTGAGACGCAGCTATTTTCCCTTTCGCTTTCTCTTTCCCCGCGACTTATCTCAGAATACCTACGGATTACCTCCTAATCATAATCGCAACTCAACAATATGTCGGGCCCTGTACCTACGGTCACTGCATTGCAGGACATATACACCCAACAGGCTCTAGATGATCAAACTGTGAGGTGGAACAAGCTGCTTGACAAATTTCAGGCCCTTTATGGCGCCCCCGCCCAATTCGTCTCGCGATCGCCTGGTCGCGTGAATATCATCGGCGAGCATATCGACTACTCCCTTTACTCGGTACTGCCCATGGGAATGACTCCCGATGTCATCCTCGCCGTATCCACCGATCTAGAGTCCTCACAAGAAGGCAGTTACAAGATCAAGATAGCTAATGTCGACAACGAGCGATTCCCGACTCGCGAGTTCGATATACCTTATTCCGAGGTCGATATCGACGCAACGATACATGAATGGACCAATTACTTCAAGTCTGGGTTGAGAGGGGCGTTACAATTGCTAAGGAAGAAATATGGAGACGATTTTAAGCCCAAGAGTATGCAAGTGTTAATGGACGGGACAGTACCCGCTGGTGGTGGTCTCAGTTCCAGCGCTGCCTTTGTAAGCGCCAGCGCATTGGCTGTTATGATTGCCAATGGGGAACGCGATGTCGACAAGAAAGCTCTGACCGAGGTTGCTATTGTCAGTGAGCGGGCCGTGGGTGTCAATTCTGGAGGGTGAGTTTACCTGGTTAGTTGCGTGGTTAGTATTAATGTCTTGCTTGCAGAATGGACCAGTCCGCTTCAGTATTCTCCGAACGAGGATCGGCTCTCTTGGTTTCTTTCACTCCGTCCCTCTCGGCGCGGCCGGTCTACTTTCCCAAAACGAACCCTGAACTGTGTTTTATGGTCGCGCAATCGTTCGTCACTTCAAATAAACAGGAAACCGGCCCAATTCACTATAACCTCAGGGTCGTCGAGTGCAGCATGGCAGCAGCATATCTAAACGCCAAGTTATGTCCTAAGGGAACTGAACTTCCTAAAGATGCTGGCCCACTAGGCGTATCCATACGCGGATTCCACCAAAATTACTTCAAGGATACCACCAAGTCAATGCCCGAACAACTTACCGAGTTGATTGAACTGACCAAGTCCACGCTCACCCAGGAGCAAGGATACACTGTGGAAGAAGTTGCTTCAGGTATCGGTATCTCGGTTGATGATGTAAAGGCTCGGTTTATGTCCAGCTTCCCCGTACGGGGCGAATACTTCAAGCTCCGCCAGCGCGCACTGCACGTATTTACCGAGGCTCGGCGTGTTCTCCAGTTCCTATCCCTTCTAGAAGATCCGGCACAGGCCCCCGACTCCGAGCACACAGTCGAATACAATGCTAAGCTCGGAAAATTACTGAACGAAACCCAAGACTCGTGCCGAGATGTTTATGAGTGCAGTTGTCCCGAGATAGACGAGTTGTGCAAGATTGCGCGCGAGGCCGGGAGCTACGGTAGCCGGCTGACCGGTGCTGGCTGGGGTGGATGCAGTGTCCATTTGGTGCCTGCCAATAAGGTTGACGATATCAAGAAGGCGTTGCTCGATAAATATTACTCCAAGCGGAACTTAAGCGAAAAGGATCTAGAGGGAGCAATTGTTGTCAGTCGGCCGATGAATGGCAGTGCAGTCTTCAAACTGAAGGAAGGGAAGATTTAATCCTGCTAGGTTAGTATATAGCGTATATATAGCGTATATGTATAGCGTATGCTGTTAGTAATTGCGGAGCATAGATATTATGTGGACCATTGACTCGATTTCTCAGTGATGCATTTGCAAGATTGACAGTTCTGGTCGCCCTTTTGTGTTCATGGTGAGGTATCTACGTTTAAGGAAGACTTCGTTACTCTATCATACTCATAATTCCTACTTAAGCCTCGAGATAACCTTCTTTGTTATTAAAGGTTAGCATGGATAGAGATATAGTACCACCTATGACTATAAGACACGTAATTGCACGACATTGAAAATAACATCAATAATTAATCGCAGCCCTTGCCAATAGGAGTGGTTTTGTGAGGTGATTGGCCACATTGCTAGCCTTATTACCTGTTTAGGAAACAGTTCTCCTTGTATTAAAGTGAGGTATCTATGATCTAGTATTAATCCGTAGTATGATCTAATATATTATCCCAGAACCATACTAAAGCTAGATAATATGATTTCGACTTAAGGTAATATTAGGTGCTTGGCCCGTATATTCTCCATATGTATCAACACATTCTCTCTTCGATATGCCGTAAGTCGATATGCCGTAAGTTACACTCAAAATAAGAATAGAATCGCGATAAGAGGTAAGAATATATATGTCCATATTTATCTCTCTAGTCATATAATACTAGGTAAATTTGACGCGTCCCAGCGCTTGGTTTGCGTATGGTTCATTACTCGTTCCGCAACCAGATCAAGCATCCATTACATTAGTTCATGTATTCTATGCCGTTGCCTGCCCCGCCGAAATACTCCATTAATACCATATCCCGCTCTCATGCATTTCATTCCTACAGCAAAAAGTAGACAGAGAAGCCTCAATGGTAGAAAAGGGCTATTGCTATCTCATTGCTCACGAGCAAATCGACGGCTCACAGTCCCATTCCAAGGAGGGTAAGATGTATGCCACGAACCATCATCGTGAGAAGTACTTGAGCTCCACACCCAACTGGACACTGGTATGGATGTCGTCCATGCCGTCGGGGAAGAGGTGCTAGCGAAAGTCGTTGGCAGGACTGATATGATTACCGTACTTGGCGGCGCCGGGGGTATGGTTGACGAGATGGTAGATACAGATGATGATGTTGCTGTTGCTGTAGTAGACTCTGTACTCGGATAAGCCGCAGTTGAAGATGATACATGGTCGTCTTCAGTCACAGTGGTGGTTACAACGTCAGTTGTGGGTTGAATGTCTATAATAGAGACTGTAGTAGCAACAGTCTGGGTCGCGGGACTAGCGGTAATCACTATCGTGTTGGTAACCGGTGGAGAAGTCTGGACAATTGTTCTCGTACTCGGGGTAGGAGTTACAACGATTGTCTCAATTGTGCCAGGAGTCTTAGTTGAACCTGAACCTGAACCATTCCCATCAATCGGGACTACAGAATATGTAGCGCGAGCGACCAATGACTGGGTTGGTTGCCTTCTCTGTATAAGGAAAGGCAATGCTGTAGATGAATCAAATAGGGATAGGATAAAGAGAAAGGAGATCGACAGGTTTAGATGCATCTTGGACAACGCCTCAAGGGGGGTTTTGCTTGTACTAGTTGAGGGCCGCGAGTTATTGCACCTTACAGCCTAGCTTGGTGGAAAGGAATGATCTGCAAGATGAAAAAGAGAATTTGAACCTACCATGGCAAGCATCGCCTTTTATTATACATACATATCAATTAGCAATATTCGGATGGTTGGGAAGTGGACAAGGCTGGGTGGGAGATGGGATTGAGAGGGGTTTGATAGGGAAGTTCTAGGGTAGTAGGGAATAAGTTGGTGGCTGGAGTGTGCATCAACCCCAGACTTCCAAGATTCTAGTGGATACCTAGGTACATACATGTATTGTATTGTACCTACCTCCTTAGGTAATCTAAGAGGTACCTATGTAGGTACCCGATAAGTACGGATCCGTACCTGCATTAGAGCCATCGGACAATTGAATTGAGTCTTGGGAAAGACGCACCATAATCCTTTTTTTCCCTTTTAGTTCGGGATTCTCATCTATACAAATCCACCAATTCCATACCAACTCGGATTTCTATACCCATTCTATTTATCATCCTATAGTTAGTACTTATACTTCAACGCGCGTTAATATGGCAACTTTACGTTCTAGGCAATCGGGAGGTGCGGTTGGCGCATCTCTACTAGAGCGAGCCCAAATACTTTCTCGATATTCTCGAGCGATAGCCGAGAATATTTTCAACAACTAGGACACGTTGAAAAAGATCGTTCTATGTCATGAAGATACAATCCAGAAGCGCTGGGTCCAGAAACCGAAACACGAACGAGAGAAACTCTTGCTTGGTGCCTGGCCAAATATGCCATCGCCGCATCGCCCTGACATTGCCGTTTGTAGGAAACTTGTTCCAATTGAAAAATGGAACATGAGTCCGTTAATGTGGCCCTATATAAACCTCGAAGATCTATGCAAAACAGAGCCGCTTTTACTGATGCTCAATTCTCGAGGGAGGCATTCACCTGGCGATTTCATTAACTTCGATTTTAATTCGTTGATCCCGGGGTACCAAACCCCATACTACAATATTGTATATCTTCCAGGTTACGTTATGTCTTTTGGGGAGCCTCCTTCGTTAGAGACATACGGCCAGCTCCATCCTGACACCGATAGCGATGTTAGATTCGACCAAGGCTCGAATCGGGGGGTTTTTACTGCAGACAATGGCATCCGAACTTTGGCGGTTCAAGATCGTCTGTATAATTTTCTTATTAAATGCTGTGAAGCAATTCTCCACGATATTCCAACAGAAGATTTGACGCAGGCCGACCAGCATATCCTTTGCTCGCCCACGGTACTTATGTTAACGAGTAATTCGCCAAGGCTTCGTTTCTCCGCTATCGACGCATTTGAGGACCTGTATAAACGACCATATAAAGTCGAATTTAGTCGTATCGAATCAATTGTTAGGTCCATGCTCGTTGCCGCCGAAGATCACCTCCTGTCTATGAGGGATGATCCCGACTATTTTAGGATGGTTCTAAATCAGAGGGAAGAAAATTGCCCCAAACGCTTGCTCGACGCCAATGGTCAGGGACACCCTACTTTTCTCCAGAACAAGAATTCGTATTGGGCAGGATTAATTCGCCAAGTTTTCTCCGATGCCTTCCTAATATTCTGTGTCTTAGAGGCTACATATGATTCGTTCCGTTACCTACACTCCCTCTTCAAGGAGTGGAAAGAAGATCCTTCTCAAACAACGGCTTTGCCGCTACCTATATGTAAGATGTTGTATGGACTTACCTACAGCCTACCCCTTGTCTACCGCCAAATCATAGATTGCTCGCAATTGCTGGAAAGCATTTCTGGCTCGCCTGCGCTGAGAGAATATTACTATTACGAGCCCCAAGACTCGAAAGACGACTACTCCATTCAAATTCGGCGCCGACCTTGCGTTAATATGACCAAAATTTGCACAGACACCATGTACTTCCTTGACGCCATAACCAACCCACGGAGAGGAATACTAATTGAGTTAGAATTGCTCTTCCAGTGTCATCCTACAGCGAAGTCTTTCGTGAGTAGCTGGCTGGGTGCTCAAATTTCGATCTTGGGTGTTTTATGCGAATGCATACGCGTACTTCAGCAATACCAGCCCCGGGATCGGGGCTTGCTGCAATACTGCAAAGAATATCCCGGTGAGATTGAGAACTTTTACCACAGCAATTTCGAGGTTGCATTCAATGTGTATAGCATACCTGGTTCATTCTGGCACAATATGGCCGAAATAATGCAGAATATCCTCATAGGGGAATCAAAATATCCAATACACGAACCTCGCAGTGGGGAAGTAATTGAGCAGCTATACAAACAATTCTGGGTCAAAGTACTCGATCAGTTGCAGAGAGCGGATGTACTAAAGGAGTGCGCAATTTCGGTATTTTCTCTACCTGATGAATTTACACATCAAGAAAATTCGGAAGCCGAGAAGCCTACCAGTACGGCAGAAGAGAGCGCGAATACAAAGATGAATGATTCCACAGAAGAGTCCACAGAAGAGTCCACAGAAGAGTTTTTTGAGTCCAGGGAATATCCTCTATTCAAAGTCGACAGCCGAACTTTTGAGGTGTTTAGTACCTTATTATTCGATGGACCTGATCCTTGCAATCCAGGAGAAATTTCCTGGGATGACTTTGTTCATGCTATGTTGGCCATGAATTTTACGGCGGAGAAGATGTTCGGATCAGCCTGGCTCTTCGAACCCATAATAAACCCGGATAACGAGCTCAGCTGTATTATATTCCACGAACCATACATGGGCGGCAAACTGGAGTATACGATGATCAAACATTATGGTCGGCGTATCGCCAGGATTTTGAAGTGGGAAAGCGATATGTTCATACGGGCTTGATAATTCGGGAGATAAACATCAGAGCTGAATATCGGAATTGGTGGCATAGGCCGTATGGGGGACACTACGCTTGCCCTGATAGGATTGTGTAAAAGTGGCAATGCGTCTTGAGCCAAGTGTTTAGCGTATTCTACACGGAGGATATGTATTCTCTCATAGCGTCAGCCCTATTACTTACAGTAACTTAGAAAACAGAAGCGGTAGTTCATACGAAATTTAATGCTTTCTGACAATCCACAATATCCACAATTCTACTCTTTGTCCTGAAGAAGCGAACGCACTTGGAAACTTCCTCTTTACGCGTAGTTCACTACGAAGGCATGACCACGGAATGAGTCCCGAAACAAACTTATAACCTCACATATACTTTGCCTGTTCACTTATGTGTTTTATGCTCATACAGAAATAGCTCATCACATCTTACAGTCATGTTACAATCGGCGTAACCTGTAAGACAGCCTATCGTCGATAAACACGTAGCGTACAAGAAGACCGTATTCCTATTAACCTAACCAAAAAAACGCCGTATCGAAACTAGATAGCACATACCCATCCATCAATCTCTCAGTTTTTACGTCTGTTTCGCTCCCGTCACGGGGCAGACACCCGAGGACCCTTCAACCTGGGGGTGGCCGACAACCTTGTCCTTGTGGTGGCCGACCTTGGCTTTCGTCACTGGGCACACGTCTCCGTCGGCCTTGTTAGCTGTGCTAGGGTGGTCTGGAGGTAGGACTGTGGTTACGGGTCCGACGACGGGACATACGCGGTCGTCTACGTTGGGATTAGCAATCTAGGTACTGCGAGAGTAGGGAGTAGGAAGTAGGGGTTTAAAGAGTGTATTAAGGGGGACACCTACCCATCTCCTTGCTCTTGGGCTCATTGACAACGCTTCTCAGTGCGGGACAGGCCTGGGCGTCGGCCGAACCGACGGACTGAGTGGTTGCAGAGATGATCTCGCCGCTGGGGACAGACGGGTGCTGGTGCAGTTTCGTGTGGTGTTCTGTCTTAGCACCAACGACTGGACACGTCTGGCCTGGCTTAGAGAGGTCGATCTCTGGGTGGGAAGGCGGTAGAGTGTGGTTCGTAGTTCCAACGACGGGGCATACTTCTGCGGCGGCCATGATTGCGGTTTGAGCTGTTGGTATAACTAATAAGTTCTTGGAGATGATGACTTGTATACAGTTCGTGTAATAACTAGATGTTGTTGTTTTTCGTCTGAGGAAATCGATAGGGAAAACATACGAGCTAGAGAAGAGGGGGGGAACGAGTTCTATTTAAAGTTGCGGGTCGAACCTGTCGATATAAAGAAGGCTAAGCTCACCGAATGCTCTGGAGCTCGTCCTATATCCCGAGACGACGTCATTCTAGTCTGCTTTAGGAAAAGAGCAGGGGAGCTTGGTGAGTGTGATTGGTTTTAGGGCAATGCTTATTGGCTGTTTGGCTTATGTCAGGTTAGGTGGTACGACAGCAAGAGTGGGTCTGGGGTTCAGGGCACCTATCGTAGGCTCAAAAGAAAGATGCGCTATGGAAACTTGAGGCTTATTCCAACATAAGAGAATAGTGTAAATATCTACCGCGCAAGTGGATGTCTGCTTAATTATGAGGTAGGTAATGTACCTAGGTAATGTAGCAGTTATGGCCATGTTATTTCTATTTTATCTCATTTTTCTATAATCCGTATGACAGTATGGTTGTGACGGCAATACAGTTTATAGTTAAACCTAACTTTTACTTGTCGAGTTACACTGCATAACTGACCACTAAAGAAACATTCTAGAAGCATCATTGTGTCATATACTACATATGCACTTATCCGATGGCACAAGATAAATCCCACGACGTTAGTTCTCCTATTATCTGGTGTATCAGATAGGTTATGTTGAGCCGCAAATCTTGTACAATTACGATGTAACTACCTAGGTAGGTAGGTAACCTTAGGACTTTCCGTTCGATTGGCCAATATCAACCCAACTCACGACCCGAGTATCAACCGAAATTGATCGAATCCGCCAGCATCCATCCAGTCATTATGTTACCCAGGTAGCTACCTAACATAAGTAGTCCAGGCAGCCAGTTACTTCACAATTATATACTAGAATAGCTTTCACTTCAATACACTACACCGCCAGTCAATATGAGAGTCCAACTCAACCAAATCTCCGTTGCCCTGGTGTTATTCGGGTTCGCATCAGCTATTCCACCACCTCGCGAGTACGTGGGCTGTTTCGACTCACCGATAAATCTAGAATTTAGTCGCACCAACATATTTAATTCAATTGGTTTCTGTTGGCATTGGTGCGGAACTAATAACCAGCCCGTGATGGCTGTAACGAACGGCACCGGTTGCTTATGCGGTCAAGCTATCCCTCCTTCTGAAAGAACCGTGCCAGATTCATCCTGCAACAGTGTTTGTTCGGGATATCCGCAGGAAATGTGTATGAGCACTAGGGATCGTCCGCGAAAGATGTAATTAAGCTAACCCTAGAACAGGCGGCGGTCAAGGTTACTTTTCAGTCTACCATAGTGTGCGGCTAGACGAGCTTGAACGAGGGCCCAACCAGGAGACCTCGACGCAAAGCATCGAGCCGGCCGACATAAGTGAAACGCTCCCAACCGCCTCAATTGAGAATCAACCCATTCCGTTAGCAGGTTCATCCGATCTATAGATTCTATTGCTTTGTTTTAAAACGCCCGAATAACCTCTTTCCTGAGTCAACTCGCATTATATAACAAGTAGAGCAAAGGTACCTAATATATCATTGAAACCTAGGGTGGGAACCTTGAAGGTCGCATACAAAAGCGGTAGCTTATTTATATATACACCTTTCATTTACTGTGTATTTACAGCCAGAGTATAAATCATTTTAGGCCAATTGAGGCCCAGAAAACAATCGGTACTTATAACCACCGCAATCGACTAACTTGTACGTATATTAGTTTAAGATGTTCCCGAGCAACCGACGAAGTTGTTGCCGCTGGCTCCAGTGTGAGTAATTTCACCTGCTAGCTTGCAGGATGTGTTGATAACGACTCGATCTGGTCCAGGAGAGCCTATCATCCATTAGCTCGCATCATATACGTGAGAAAGGCTATCACGACTAACCGCCAGTATACACACTACCACTGGATAGGAGTGGGAACTCAAGGTACGGCCCGGAAACTGAGAACGAGAAGCCCTCATAGTTGTTATATGTGTGCGGGTAGCCACCAGGTGCGCTTCCTGAGCTATAGTAGCTGCATGCCTTTTGCGCGGCCTGGTTCACTTGCGTCGCGGTATAGGACGTGGAACCACATGTCGTCGCAGCTAGTTCAGCGCGCTCCTCGACGATGGGGGCGGCAGCGACGGACGTGAGAAGAGCCGCGAGGGGCAGGAAAGCAAAGCTGCCGACGAAGAATTTCATGATTCCGATCGGGTTATTGAGAATTATGAGTAAGGAATCAAGTGGTGTCCGAAGAGTTGATCGGAATAAAGGGGATCGACTACGAGATAAAATGGATTGGACAATCGTATATCTACCTACTCTATATATACATTTTATCTCAACTCCTCTTCCGCGCTCGGTACCTGACGATCCTCCTTCCTCGCAAGGCACAATGCGCCGAAGAACATCACCCGGTCCCTATAGCTTACGCAAACCAAGCTTGAACGGGACGACAGTTTCTTCTTCTGGGACAAGCACCGAAGCATTCCACAGCTGGGCATGCAGATAGGTGCGCAACTAAAAGCGGAAGGTAATAGATAGACGGTAGAACGTGCCGATAAGGTTGGCGGAGATTGCGCGACGTTGTGTGTGCGGGGCTGAGGGTTTGGTTAGATGCCAGGAGGGTGTCTTATGTCTCTGCTGCTATTGGTGGTGAATACTTGGACTAATAAGACGCCAAGTCGGTTGATTGGAACTAGCTTTAAGTATTTATGCAGACTTATAAACTTGGCTGAACAGCGGCAACCTCTTATTCTAAAACAAGACTGTCTTTAGTTTACATCTGTTGCCTTAAAGTACAGTTATGTAATATTTTAAAGAAGCACTCGTTTAGGTATCTACCTAGGTAGGTAGATACGGAAAGGATCATAAGTATAGTACCCCTAGAGCAGACGTACTATGTTAGGTGCTTTTGACTAGTGTATACCTTGCCGGGACACGATGTAACCTTTGCTAGTAACGCTATAACTATAGTTTAAAGAGAATCAATTACCATTTGAGACATAGATCCAGTAGTGACTGAAGGAGTATAAATAAATGAGATAACTATACGACCGGTACCTCACATACATATATGCTCGATACGGCTTCATGTCCCAAGTGAGACTTAGATCTTATATACGCCGATTATCAGCGTTCATCTACCTGAGGTATAACCGACCTGGCCTTGTGCTGATCCCCGATACGCCAAATATTATTTTGTATGGGTGATCTCCACCCTCTTCGGTATAAATCAGCAGTCATGTTGTTTTCTCTTCTCTTCTCTTCTCTTATAATTTATATTTTGGCTTTCGGCTTTGAGGAGCTTGTAACTTTTCTGCAACCTGCATTTTCTTGGGGATTGCATCCGGGGATCTAACGACCTCCTAAGGTACTATAAAAAGTCACTTCTGTTTCGATAAATCGAAGCTATTATAAGCTAGACCATACTTCGGTTGGCCCATTTCGTAGAGGAATAGGTATGCTATTCAAATCTAGTGCTACTTAATTGTGCCACCAGAGTGATCAACCATCCACTGGTGGAGGGGATCTTTCTGTTTTGGCTTGACGTTCTCCTTGAGGCTCGACCACGATAAATTCCTTACTAACCCCTTGCCCTTTTCTGTTAGCCTTGGTCGCCAGTCTCCAGTATTGGCTTTCCTTTGAAGAGAACTTGGTTGTTCCTTCTCGCTACGGTTGGTACTTTCCCTTGTCTCTTTACCAGCATTCGGCGATGGAACGCGACCGCGGAGAAGATCGAGGCGTTCTCCTACCTTCTCCTTGAAATCTCTGGGGCTGTTGGGATGGCTGGGGGGTTTGGTACTATCCCGTCTCCATTGATGTATATGTGCTACTCTCTCGGTAATCTCGACGGTTTTGCGCTTTTTTGATCGCGCATATTCGGAGGTGGCACGGGTCAGTTTGGCCCGAGTGGATTCTTGCTCTCTGCTGGTACGAGCCCTGACCTTTGAGAGCTGTTTGGTTCCCTCCATGGGGGATAAGATATATGTAGCGCCGCCTATGGGACACGTTCCTTTGGGAAGCGCTGAACGTCCTTGGGAAAATTGGGAAAAGCAATATCCTTGTCTGAGCATTGTGTTGATGTGGCTAATGGTGGGAGTAAGGAGAAGGGTTCGATAATATGAGAGAAATATATATCAATACTTGACGAAATGTTTGCTGAGTTCTTCGTTAAAATTATTAAATCAGTAGGCGTGTTACCTATCAATATTCAGTAAGTGAGCTTCAGATCTTGTATGTTTGTACAATTTACCCAATCAGGGGAAGGACTAATAATTATCGATACTTCGTGAACCTCTCCTAAATGTTTCTATGGTATAGCATTAAAGCTTCTAAAGTTGGTCATAATAAATCGTGGTGAATCTATATACGCTGTTAAAATGCGCTGAATGTTGGAATTCATCATTTGCGATCCCGCTTTAGGATGGCATTGTCCTGACATGGGCAATATGAGTGTTCTCCTTGACGGTCTATACAGTCACTACGAGACTTGGGCAACACATGCAATTCTAAGTACGACCCTGACGCACCTATAGTGACTCATTCCGTACCAAGACCAACTTAGTTGGCATCCTCATCCAAGCCATCAGAGTAATACTCGAAACTTTGAGGAATCTCTAGATCCGGACCATTACCAGCGTCCGGATCTATTTCGACAACCCCTCTACCATGAGCCTTCTTTACGTTGGTACTTTCTGTGTCCCAAACTCGAGTGTCACCTAACAGCTTCGTTATGCGCTGAGCCCATTCCCAAGGTCGCTCTTTGCCTCCTGGCAGGCCATTGAAGTATTCCCATCCCATGACACCTCCAAATTTAGAGAACTGGTGACGCAGGACTGCCAGCGTCGGTCCCAAAACTTCGAAAGGCACCCAGCCGGGTCCGTTATCTGGCGCCGTCACAAGACCAACGACAACCTTTTCCGGCGGCCAGCCTCTTGCGATGCACATTTCATACATTACGGGAGTACTAGCATCGCCCCATCCACAATAGAACTGGGCATTATACCAAGCAATTTGCTTCCCGCGCATAACTTCTAGGGCCTCATAATCGAAGCCGCTAAGATTACGTCTTGGATCGAGGAGAGCTGTTGCGACCGGCGCAAGAGTAATGATGAAGTCGGGACCGAAGTCCGCTCTGAGTCTATCGATAAGGCGCACGATGCCCCCTAGCGACATTTGCTCTTCAACATCTAAGTCGAGGCCGTTCAGATCTCTTTCTCGGATAAGATCGTAGAGAGGACCGTAGTACTTCTCAAAGGTCTCCTGATCTTGATCGAGTCGAGTATAAGAACCCTTAGCCGCTCCGCCTAACATACCAAGGACCTTGATATCGCTAGCTTGAGCAATGCGCATCTCTGCCCACATGGTAATGTATCGCGGGTCTGAGGGGGGATGGTCATTGAGTGTTAAGCCATTTGGATTTTCGTTGATGTGGATGGCGGCCACGATCAGGTGTGTAATCGATATGTCAGGCTTCGTGATTAAGGGCAATATTGAGATATGGTTACTGTTGGAATCGTGGATAGTCTGGTGGTACACAACGAGGCGAGGGGTTGTCCCCGCCGGCAACGATGCCATGATGCTTTAGTCAAAGACTTGAAAGAAAGACAAGGTAGACTCTAATACGGAGTCGAACATTGAAAATTAAAAATAAGAGTACCTAATACATGAGGTATATAGTAGTAGCGCTGACTTAATGTTTTCACTCTCATCGGCTTCGTGCTTCGTGAATGAAGCAGTGGTGGATGAGGAAAGCTCTCACCAATAGTGAAAAATTGGGGCCGACTGTCAAAATAAGCTTAGTGCCTCCAAGGTAGCAGCCCTGTCTATAATTCTTAGAGTCGCTTTCACAGAATGTGCCTTCATTGTCTCGACGCTTATAAGTAAAGCGCAGAAGTGCAAATGGTATGCATAGCTTAAATGTTTAATATTTAATATTAAACAAATATATTAGTTTAGTCGCGAATTATAGATTCAAAGAGAAAGAACTAATAAGCAACAACTTAATTCAACTGTATAAATTCGACCAACATTTAAATAATATACCACCCGAGTTGAAGCGGCAGTAGCCGAGATAGGAAGAGCGCGCTTTTATATAGAATGAGCGAAAAGTAACGTCATTAATATCTGCATACTAACTTTATCATATCCCCGCGAATTTAGTACATTACCTAAGGTGAGGCAATCTGTAGTTTAAACGAGCTTAAATAAGTAAAGAAGTGCAAGTACGCTGCTCGAATATGGGGGATACAATAAAAGTGCCGGATACCGTTCGGGAGTTTATAGTGGCAAAGTGGTCCATTATCGGAAGTCTAGACCAAGATGCAAGTTGGAAATAGGCAGGCATGGGCAAGCATGGGCAGGCACAGAAGAGACCCCACTGAAGAACGGTGTGCCAGGGGTGTGCAGGATGTGGTAATCTTCCCCTGTAAATAGAATGGAGCACGAAACTTTTCAGCTTTTAAACAAACGAGGCGGGTCTTTTGCTTTCTTCGTTTGTTGATCAAATTCTCCTCTGGCGGTGCGCGCCATTTCAGGGGTCCATTTTCGTACATCATTCCTTCATGATCAACTGCCCTAATTCCCTAATTCCCTAATTCAATCCACTGTTCTATGCGTACGGAAATAGATCTAAAGTTTGAAAGGCTAAAAATCCTTGCCTCATCTCATTGACGTCATGAAGTTTGCCAAAGAGCTTGAGCAGGACCTTGTGCCAGGTAAGTTGTGAACTAGATATAATTACCCGAGGTAGTCGTAGGAAAGAGAGAACAGAGAACAGGTAGATATAAATGCTAACATAGGAACCAGAATGGAGAGTCAAATATCTAAACTACAAGGCTGGCAAGAAACATATCAAAGCTATCTCGAGAGCAATTTACAAGGCATACGGAACGCAGTTAGGTCAAGTAAAAAAGGGCGACCTTCCACCTCATGAGGCGACCCCTCGTCCTGATCAATTCTCTCGTCAACAGAATGGAGGTCCCGAAGCAGAAATCGTGGATGAAACTGAGTCTCTACGAGCAAGCCCCGCACCCATAGGACGTGCAACTCGAGGGACTCATCACTCATTAGGAGCCCAATCGACACCTATTCCCACACGGACAGAACGTCAATCACTAACGACATCGCCGGGAAATGAGGGACGATATGGTAGCTTTGTGCCTACACCGCCTTCAACTATGGAAAGTTGGAATTTGTTCGAGTTGCCAGGCCCTGCAATGGGCGATCCTGCCATCTCAAACGAACAACCTCCATCTCGGCCGACGGACACGCTTCAGAAGTCTATCAGCCCGCAGTCTGTAAAGCGCAGCACGTCTATGAATGCAGCTACTCCAGGAGACGCTTCAAAATCAGCTTCTCATGCTCGCCATACTTCTATGCCTCAGCAAGACGCGTCGCCTGGCAGACTTCGGCGTATATTCTCGACTGGTCCGCACCTGACCCAGCGTCTTAACAGAACTGAGAGCGCCAAGTTCGGGCACGGTTTGGATGCAATCGAAACGGTTAGGCAGCGTGAAAAGGAATTTTTTGACTTCCTAGATAGCGAACTCGACAAGGTGGAGACGTTCTATCGCCAGAAGGAAGAGCAGGCTGGACAACGTTTGGTTGTTCTCCGGGACCAATTGCACGAGATGCGGAATCGACGTACACAAGAACTGGCAGAACTCAAACAACGTAAAGAAAGAGGCGAGGATGGCAGTAGTCATGATAATAAGGGGGTTTCATCCGGTACCAACAATTCTCTTGGCTGGGTCGATCCGATTAAATCCCGAATATTCAAGCCTGGCGCGAATTCAAAGGCATTTTCAAAGTTGCACTTCACACCAGTGCTTGGTGCAATGGGTGCATCAGACTCGCAAAGGGACTATATCAGGAGACCCACTGGCCACGAAGTGTCATACAGGACGGCAAAGCGAAAGTTAAAGTTAGCTTTACAAGAGTTCTATAGGGGTCTAGAACTTCTCCAATCTTATTCCCAACTCAACCGGACTGCTTTTCGAAAACTCAACAAGAAGTATGACAAGGCTGTTAATGCTCGGCCACCTTATGGGTATATGAATGAGAAAGTCAACAAGTCATGGTTCGTGAATAGCACCACAGTGGATGAATATATCCGTTCAGTCGAGGACTTGTACGCGAGGTACTTCGAAAAGGGTAATCGCAAGATTGCCTCAGGGAAGCTTCATCGCTTAAACCGGCGGCTAGGGGACGAATCTGCGATCGCGTTTTGGAACGGACTCTTCATCGGTACCGGGACTGTATTTACTCTTCAGGGCCTCGTGTACGGTGCCCAACTCTTATTCGACCCGGATCCCGTGATACGAGAACGGACCAGCTACCTTATGCAGATATACGGTGGCTATTTTCTAATGCTGGTTCTGATGTTCCTATTCTGCATTGACTGCTACATGTGGACAATTAACAAAATTAATTATCCCTTCATTTTCGAGTTTGACACGAGAAACAGCCTGGATTGGAGACAACTGTCTAGCTTCCCCAGCTTTTTCCTCTTGCTTTTTGGTATATTTTTCTGGATCAACTTCACTAGGTACGGGTCAGAAGAGTTATATTTATACTACCCGGTAATTTTAATAGCCATTACGCTTGTTATCCTCACACTTCCGGCCCCTATTTTATGGCACAGGAGTCGCCAGTGGCTTATGTATTCTCATGTAAGTACCAAATCCCCATCAGCCCAACTTACGTTAACATTTCTAGTTTCGATTGTTCTTCGCCGGATTATATCCCGTCGAATTCCGCGACTTTTTCCTCGGTGACATGTACTGCTCCCTTACCTATGCTACTTCGGTAAGTCATGATGGTCAACGGTCCATAACCTGCCGTAAGAGCTAATGAGGAAATTAGAATATTGAACTCTTCTTCTGCCTCTATGCACATCATTGGAACAACCCTGTTCAATGCAATTCAAATAATTCTCGCTTGATGGGATTCTTTTCGGCATTACCCCCAGTCTGGCGTGCACTACAGTGTATTCGTCGTTACCGTGATACCAAGAACGTATTCCCGCATCTGGTCAACGGGGGAAAGTACGGCATGACAATCATGTCAGCGGTAACCCTATCGATGTACCGTATGAGAGCTACGGATTCAAATCTCGGGCTTTTCGTCACCTTTTCCATTATGAACAGCATATATACTTGTAAGTTTTTCGAACAGTTCCAGCTCATTTTTCGGAGTTGTAGAAAAGCAAATCACCTTCTAACACATCCTTCTAGCAATATGGGACTTGTTTATGGACTTTTCCTTCTTCCAGCCTGATACGCGCCACCGGTTCCTCCGTGACATCCTGGGACTCAAACGACGGTGGCTATATTACGTTATTATGGTGATTGATCCAATACTACGTTTTAGTTGGATCTTCTACGCCATTTTTACCCGCAACAAGCAGCACAGCACTATCGTCTCCTTTCTTGTCGCCTTGGCCGAGGTCATGCGTCGCGGCATGTGGGCCTTGATCCGCGTTGAGAATGAGCATTGTGGCAACGTCGCCCAGTACAAGGCCAGCCGCGACGTGCCCCTACCCTACCCCTTGGTGCGTCATGAACCCCTCGTTGAGCGTCCCAGCAGCGAAGAAGAAGACCAAAACCGCACTATCAGAACGGCAACGCAGTCAAAGCAAGCTCCTGCATTGCCTATTGAGGGAGCTACAGCTGGTGCGATTGACATAAGCGCCGTAGGTGCCTCAGCGCTTGGTCGCGAACAGACTAGACGGCAGATACAGACCCCAGCGCAGGAACAGGCTGGGGGAAGCGGAATGCGGTGGCGCAGACGGCCCGAGGCACTACGTGCGTGGTCAATTCGTGGCATTATGGCCAACGCGCACAAGCAGGACTTCCAGAAGCGACGGAGACCACTGGAGTCTGCATCTTCGCAAGACGTTAATGAATTAGGAGTAGGAGAGGGGGGGTTACAGAGTGAGGAGGAAGACGATGATGACGATGACGATGACACAAGAAGTATACATGATGAGCGTATGGAGGCTCGCCGGGCGGAAGATCTGGTTAATCCTGATATGAGAGACGAGAGCGTGTAAGGCAGCTGGTTAAGTCGTATTTAAGTGTGAGCTTCTTCGTACAGCGTTATTTGGGTTAGAAGGGAAGCGAGGTATTATAAATGTTGCATGGGTTGACTGGTTAGAAAAAATAGAAGGTTGGATCTGGCTCGAAAGATGGCATTATCCGCCCGGTTCTCTTTACGGCGGTCATATTAATTATAGACATACATTAGTGTGTAAAGCAAGCGTTTTATTCTTATTATAATACCTAATTTATACACCAATATACCTAAAGCTAGCAATTGAGAAGGTCGTGAGCCCAAGTGCCAATTGGCAATAATGGAGAGAGGGCCCCCGCCCTTCAAACATGATACCCTCAAGGTCTACGATATATACTATATCAGCAACCAAAATCATCACATACGACCATAGGATCTGGAAAATTCGGGATCCCGTCCGCTCTCCCCTAGACAAGCCGGATACCGCCAGACTAGTAGTTGGGTCGGTGACGACCAGCGAATCCCTGGTGTTGTATGTTTTTTTCTCTTTTTTTTTTCTTCTTTTCGCCAGGAATAGCGACTATCATTATAGCTACTCCTTCAACGTTCGTTATAGGTCCTTAGGTCTATTATTCATTTGAATTTGAATCTAATTGATTCAGTCGCTTATTTATGTTATTCTTAGATAGTTAAGTTAAATTAATACCTTTTTAGTCTTTTCGATGTCTTGGTTTGTTGGTATAAGAGTTGGGTGGAATGTGTACCCGCCTCTTTCGCGCCGAAGAACGCTATGGACGATAAACAAGTGTTACATATATTAAGTAATGGAACATCGAATAATAACAAAGTGTCACTTGGCGCAGTGGTAAAATTTGACAATTGAGAGTCTCGTACGCTTAGAAAAAATCAGCTGAGCCCGTGCCAAATATTGATCCAAGCACTTCAAGTGTAACACACCACCCGCAAAGCTTCCGGTTCGATTCCACTTACGAGCGTTGAGACGGAGGCAGTTCTCTAGAGACGGTCCATCCAAAAGAGATAGGAACCAAGTCCGAAAGAGTAAATAAAGCCCGCCTTCGCCGTAAGTGTTAAAACCTTGAGAACAAAAGGGTGCAAACATAGAACTTCGTAATATTAAATAAATAATTACGAAGATGGCTTTTTAGCCTCCCAACGCTTCATAGCTTTAGAAACTATTTTTTTCTTTTTTTCTTTTTTTTTTACCACGTTGCCTCGTCTTTTTAAATCAGGGATTTACTATTTACTGTAGGTATGATTAATACATAGATTCAAGCCAGCGTTGTAGTATTTTGTTTCATTTCTATTAAACTCTCATCTCGCGCTCCAACCCCTAACGCAACTTCTTAGCCCGCCCAAACCTCACTAGCAATTCATCAACCGGTCTATAAGTTAAGCTTGGATTCGCCAGTTTAACGCCCCTACCAGTGCGCTCCTCTCCGGAGGATAGTAGCTCTCCATTCCGCCGCTCGATGCCGAGGAAGTTCCACCGTGGGACCAGCTCGACGAGGACGGCTTTTACCTCGATGAGGGCGAAGTTGCGGCCCGGACAGGTCCGTGGGCCCTGAAGGAACGCTTCAAAAGCGAACGGTGTTGCCGCGTCCCCCGTCAACCGGTCCCAACGGTCTGGGTCAAATACAGTGGCGTCCGGACCCCAGACTAGCGGGTGCTGGTGTACGAGTGGGATATTGAGATCGATCTGTGTGCATTTGGGTATAGATACGCCCTCTATTACCAGGTCCCGGGTGGCTTCACGCTGTGCCATATATGCTTTCAAGTTCAATCAGCTTAGTCAGGGGATCTTGGGCCATTCTCGAGAAATTAAAGACATTTTCGGGAAAAGGGGCAAGGAGAAGACCTACATGGGGGATAGACACGAAGCACCTCACGAACGAAATTGTGCAGATAAGGTAGAGCGGAAATTGAGTCGTAATCCGGTTCTTGGTTGGTCTCGAGTAGAGAGTCTATCTCAGACCGTAGCCTATCTTGTATAGCAGGGTTGGTTGCAAGAACGTAGAGAGACCATGATAAAGTGGCAGCCGTACTTTCATGACCTAATTGAGGGGTCGTAAATTAGTGTGATGAAGTTGAGTGTTAGTATGGCCAGGTAGGAAGAAGTAAGACGAACCTGCAGATGTGAAATTTAGAAGCTAGGAAAAGGCAATTTTGTCAGCGTTAGACTACTGGAAGGACGGGAAGTATTCTCACGTGGCCAATTATGTCGTTTATAGACCAAATATCTTTCCCTGTCTCCTGTCGGCGCATTTCAGCTTCTTCTAGCATATATGTAAGAAGGTCCCTAGACTCTCCCTTTTCTCTTTTGAAAGTCCCGTTCGCTAGGTCCGCCGCGCGTTGCTGGATGATATTTTGCAGCATCTTTCTCAAGTCGGCAGTCGCTTGGATGAATCTACGGTTTGCCTCTAAAGGAATAATACCTCGGACTGGTAGAAAAGCGTTAATGACCGAGATAAGCTGGCCGAGAAACCCTTGGTGAAGCACTCGGTCGTAAAGTTCCTGGAAACCTAGAGGGTACATTGACGATATGGTATCTAGTTCGATTCCCAGCACCGTTACGCCTATAGTATCCATAGTTGACTTGGAGAAGGTCTCAATTGCTAAAGGGATATTAGTTTCACAATAACGTAGGTCATAATAATAGTGGTGTTCGATTATTACCATACCTTCTATAGTAGCGTACGGCTTTTCGCCGAGTAACTTTTCAAAGATACTCGAAAGGGCCTTGGCTTTCGCCTGAAAGACGGGCAAGAGCTTTCTCATGCTCGGGACTGAAAAGGGGCCTGCCAACAATCTTCGTTCGCGCTTATGGGCCTCCCCTTCCGAGAATAACAGGCCTACACCTGTGATCTCTCCAACCAATCGCGCAAAGAACGGCGGTTTGACGAAGTCATAAACATGTATTTGGAGAATAGCCTTGTGCGCGGCCAAGCTATTTACCAGTAAGACTTCCTTACCAGCGAATGAGACGTATCTAATAAATGGCGTGTCCGGCCATTTGCGCATCCATTGTAACTGAACGCTGGCGGGTCCATCGGCTCTGAACTTTTTTACTTCTTGCCCAAGGACTAGATTATGATCCTACTTATAACGTCAGAATAGAACTGCATCAGGTGAATTAGGTTTGGTTCACAGAATACCTTTGGTCCTGGCAAATGTCTAAGTGGCGAGAAGAAGTTTGGGTATAGAACAATACGGTAGAATTTTAGGATAGCGTATTGTATGAAAAATACAGCAATGAACTTCTTAGATATACATAGGCTATCAAGCTCCCTGCTAGGCCGGAGCGCAATCAGCTCCAGGACTGTTAACCCACTACAGATGAGGGCATCCATTGAGAGATTAGAGTAACTAACATAGGTAGATATAAGAATAAGTAGAACTGGTTTTCATAACGGAACAAAAGGTTTGATTTATAGAATCCCACCGTGCTGAGGCCATAGGGTACCACTAGCCTGTAATAGAATGCGAGTCTATGACTGGTATTCCCGACAAGAGGGTCCAGGCTACGTTAGTCCATCATACTGTAAACAGTATGTAGTCATTCCAAGACTGGGCTCCGTAGAGTGATGGCAAAAAACTGCGAGATTTAAAGGCTGACCTATCTCATGCGGGCCAGCTTCATATAAGTGGACAGCGTCTACCAGATAGAAAGACAAGAATCACCCTGAATGGTATTCCCATAGCGGGATGAGCGGAGAAGGAGACGAGTTCAAACGCTATCATGGTTCACCACCAGATACAGCACCTAGACTTGTAATCTTACCCATGATGGCGTCAGCCAGAATTCGATGTGAAGATGAACGGTGGATCATTATGCCGCAGGTAATCGACTAGAAGTAGTATTTTCGTATGTCCAACGATATATCTAATCTAAAGAGGTCGTCCGTATCGTTTTGATAATGAGAATAACGACTCAATGGACATAATTCAAAGATATTTTAGCCGAATGCTTTAAAAGAATGGAGTTATAAAGTTCGAATCTACGCTCTAGAAAAGACTGAAATTAGATAAGAGACAAGACAGGAAACCTTGATGTTTATAAGCACATTTTAACTTTAATGTCTTTTTGACTTGAAGCTTTAACCTAGGTACCTATGTACATACAATACGGAACTGCGCTGGGCTGTATGTTTTAGGGTGGGTTGCGCGGGGCTAGTGCATGAATAATGGGTCCGGGGAGGCCTAGCGTGTCTGTGCAAGTGCCCCGGACTTGAGGCTCCGAGCTAGGTCATCTGGAATTATCATCTGGAATTAGCAGCTGATGCAATGTCTTATCTGTCGCAATCTCTTAGCGCGCTTGCGATGTCGGGTTGCCTGGCACCTGTGGCGGTCGTGTTGACTTCATCATCCCAACCTCCTATCTCTCATTCATTTCAAACCCGACTTACCGCTCTTTTACCCGGCCAACATCTCAAGCGAAAACCCCGTCTTCTACTTTACTCCCTCACTTAGGCGACTACGAATTCCAACCAATTTAACAGTTAACCATGACGCGACACACATCTGATTACCTGCGCCAGCGCACCTCCAACCTGTCTCTCCGAAGCGAGGCGGCAACAAATGCTTTAAGCACATCTCGGCTGTCAAGCTTCGCCAACCCTTCCGAATTCGAAAATGAGTCAACTATATCCGATGCTCTAAAGGCATTTGTCGTCGGTGACCTAGCTCGCAGCGGGTCCGTGTCCCTTTGCGATTCTTGCCTACGAGATATACCCAAAGAAAAGCGAGCCGGTACGAATATCATAATCGAAAGCGACACGCAACAATGTTCTGCGTGCGATGTCTTGGCATCAAAGCCCGAGGCTTTCACCGAGCCCTTCTGCAAGTTTCTTCAGGAGAATCCTACTGTATTCCATTCCGTCGGTTACTTCAAAGACAAATTGAATGCTCTTGACTATAAGGAGGTTGGTATTCCAAGATGATTTTAATTCTAGAGACATTGAAGCTAAGCATTTCTATAAGCTTCCCGCACGGGATGACTGGTCTGGGAAGCTCAAGGCTGGTGGCAAGTATTACGTGACTCGAAACGGCACCTCCCTTATTGGATTCACGGTTGGAAAGGCCTACAAGCCCGGTAATGGTGTAGCCATCATTGCGGGTCACATCGACGCTTTAACCGCAAAACTAAAGCCCGTCAGCAACAAGCCGACCAAAGCTGGGTATATCCAACTGGGAGTCGCTCCGTACGCGGGTGGTCTAAATGAAACCTGGTGGGATCGGGATCTTAGTATCGGAGGTCGAGTTATCGTACGGGACGAGTCTGGCAAGACCTCAAGCCGGCTCGTTCAACTTGATTGGCCTAGTGAGTATGCCATAAGCAAATGTGCGATTCTTACCGCTAATTGGATATAGTTGCTCGTATACCAACACTTGCTCCCCATTTTGGTGTGGGTATGCTGGGCCAACAAAACAAGGAGACGGAAGCAGTCCCAATTATTGGACTTGACAATTCTGATATCTCCCCAAACGCTAAACCAGTTGAACCTCTGGGTCCGGCTGGATCGTTTGTTGCTACCCAGCCACCGAGGCTCGTCCAGCTGATTTCAGAAAAGTTAGGCATTAAAGACCACTCTCAAATTGTGAATTGGGAGTTGGAGCTTTTCGATCTCCAACCCGCAACTGTGGGTGGGTTGGATAAAGAGTTCATTTTTGCTGGTCGCATTGATGATAAGTTATGTTCTTGGGCGGCATTCCAAGGCCTGCTGGCTTCGGAGGCAAACGACGACGACGGTGTTATAAAACTGGTCGCGCTCTTTGATGATGAAGAGATTGGTTCTCTTTTACGCCAAGGTGCGAGGGGCAATTTCCTCCCGTCTGTAATTGAGAGAGCGGTTGAGTCGCTATGCGGAGAGGATAAGGCATTTGGGCCTGGTGTTCTAGGTCAAACGTACGCGCAGTCATTCCTCGTGTCGGCCGATGTCACCCACGCCGTAAACCCCAACTTTTTATCCCGCTACCTGGACGGACATGCACCTCGTCTCAACGTTGGAATTACCATTGCCGCAGACAGCAATGGTCACATGACTACGGATTCGGTATCGACTGCAATTCTCACCAGAGTTGCTGAGTTAAGCGACTGTACACCGCAAGTCTTCCAGATCCGTAATGACTCTCGAAGTGGTGGCACAGTTGGACCTATGTTAAGTAGTGCGATGGGTATTAAGGCCGCGGATGCTGGAATGGCCCAGCTTAGCATGCATTCTATCCGTGCAACATGTGGCTCTCTAGATCCAGGTCTGGGTGTTAAATTCTTTAAAGGATTCCTTGACAAGTGGGAGAAGGTCGATGCCGAATGGCAGTGAAGCGAGCTGCACATATGATTTGATATCAAGGTCAAGTCATGTACATCTAGATGTATCAATATCCACCCAGTTTAGACGATATTAATTAGATTTTAGAATCACTAGCATTCAGTAATTTAAAGCTAAGCGTTTCTAGTAATGCTCAGGTACTTTACTTGTTTAGTTTGAACATAGCAATGCGCGAGAGCCTATGACGAAAAAATACGCCGTATTCTACTCGATAAATTGCAGTGGTGTAAATAATGGCAATGTCCAATGTCCGGGGAAGAGCGATCGTCACCTGCAGGAGCTCAGGAACCATTTTGTTATTCAGGACAGGGGAGACTCTGCATGTGAATGCGGAATGATGTAATCAAGGGTCCGCCGAACCCGCGGGCCGCGGCAGCGGTTAGGTTTTGAGAGGGCGCACTACATGTACGTATTACATCTTATGCAAACAAACTTGCTAAAGTCTAAATTTTGGAGATCTTGGATTGAGAGCACGCGACTATCGTGTGGATCAGTATTCATTTAAAGTGCACAGATTTGAAGGCAAACTTTTTGTAGATAAGGTTGTTCTATACTATGAGACGGAAGGAGGAATTCTTAGCTAAATTGATGACGTGTTGGCCAGCTAAAACAATTGGATGAAGCCAAGGAATTGTAGACTATTATTGGCCGAACCAAGCAACCGGCTTTAACATTTTGGTTAGACCATTCTTCATGATATCGTACCTAAGTTATAGATCAATTCCAGTCTTTAACTTTTATAACATTTATACTATTGTTCTAATGAAATAAACATAGATCTTTAAAATCAATGATATACTTCTATAAATAAAAAATAAAAAGATTATAACTTGTAAAAGTAACCTTGGGCCGGAGTGGCGAGGCTGTGCTCGGTCAACTTATACATTTTTTCCCCCTAGCGCCGGCGAACCCTTAATCTTGTCTCTTTTATCGACGCTTCACGGACGAAATTTCAAGGACTTTACCTTTTTCTTGCCTATCCTCGGTCATAGCATCAAATCTTCGCTTGGTCTTTTATTTTTATTCATCTATTCATACACCATTCCATCCGCGAGTACTCAAACTAAGGAACAATTACCGTGATAAACTATATCCCACAACAAACTGCACTTGACAACTTGACATATTTACCTATTTAACTACCTAGGTACGAAACCGAGAGCCTGTTGGCGACGATCCATGGCGCAACCGGCTAATCCCTCCGGGTCCGACAAATGGAGCTCGCTGCTATCGCGATTGAACCCAATACCGGGATTCGCGGAATACACGGGACCCTACAAGGTTGGCACCGTCGACGTTGAGATTCCAGTCTCAGAACTCGAATCGCCGGCACCGGCACCGAGCAATGCGACCGACATAGAGACGATACAATTCCGAATATTCTATCCGGCGCATCCGGATGCCCAGGGCAAACGCATAACGTGGCTACCGGCTCCCCAGCGCGAACATCTATCTGCCTACATACAATTCTTAGGGATTGGCCAACTACTAGCAGAGGCCATCTCGTAAGTACAGCGAACTTCGATCACTATAATTATCAGGCATAAGCTTATATAGAACGTGTGATAGCTTCCTCCCAAGACATCTACACTACACTTCGATCCCCGTTATTAAGAATGCGCCGGTGCTCGAACCCAACACCCCGAACAAACGGTGGCCGACAGCCATATTTTCCCACGGCCTTGGCGGTAGTAGAAACGCATATTCGCAGGTAGTAGGCTCGCTAGCCTCACATGGCGTCGTAGTAATATGTCCCGAGCACAGGGACGGTAGCGCTGTTGCGTCCTTTATCCGCATCCCTTCGCAGCAAGACCGGTACTTCGTACGTAGCACGCGCCGTATGGTCCCCTACCTCCGCATATCACACGTCGCTACGGACGAGGTATACGCTCTGCGCAACGATCAGCTCCGAATACGTTTGTGGGAGATGGGGTTGGTTCACGAGGCTATACTGGGTATCGACAAGGGTCTGTCCCTGACAAACCTGAACAAGAGCACCCCTTCTCTTTCTCCGTTCATCGGAAAACTGCACGTCCACGAGCCGGGCAGCATCATCTTCGCCGGCCATAGCTTCGGCTCAGCCACCGTCGTCCAGTTCCTCAAATCCGTATTCTACGCCGGCCGCCCGGAGCTCGAAGCCATGTCCGAGCAGCTATACGTGCCGTCCCGCGACTCTTCGATCTACAAGCAGATCACGCCGCGCAACGTCGTCATCCTCCTCGATATGTGGTGCTTCCCCCTCCTAGCCAACACCACAAAACCCCTTTTCAATCTCCCGCTCCCCATGTACGCCGCAGACCATTCTTCGCCCCCGGGCGGCGACGCGCTTCTGGCGATCGGATCAGAAGATTTCTTCAAGTGGAAAGAGCACTTGCACGCAACGGCGCGGGTACTGTCGCCGGATCCGTCAGCACCGACGGTGCAAGCCACCGCCTTTTACGAGGATAACGCGTCGGGCGTTAAGCTCCCCGAACCGAATTTCTTCTTCGTAGAGCGCTCGGCGCACTTGTCCCAGTCGGACTTCGGAGTTCTTTTCCCGCGGCTCACGCGCAGGGTCTTCGGCTCCGAGGAGCCGGAGCGCGCCCTCCGGCTTAACCGCCGCGCGATGCTGCAAGTTCTACGCGCGAACGGCGTGCCCGTCGCACGTACGTGGACGGGGGATCTGATCGATGGCGCGTTTATCGGGAAGGAGCTAGGAGGGAGCGGGAGTGGAACTACGGCTGTTGGTGATGCGACGACTAGTCAAGACGTAAGGGAGGGCGAAGACGAAAGTGGAGATGGAAATCATGAAGTGGAAGTTGGAGATAGGAGTCCCGAAGACGGTATCCACGATGACAAGGCGATTTTAGACCGTAGCGGACACGAGACTGTGGACGCCTGGCGGTGGATCGATATCGTAGGTATGGGCGAGGTGGTGGATGATGACGGCGAAGTAAAGGCGGGCACGGGAGGGGCGGAGGAGCAGGAGCCGCAGATGGCGGATGTTATCGAGCCCCGTGCTATGGACGACGACGACGTGACGGGACCAAAAGCTAATGCTAATGCTGTATAATGTAGTCGATTAGGGCTCGGCGTTGGGTGGGTTATATCCAGATGACTTTTTCTTCTTTTGTTAAGGACTCGGTTAAGGTACCTACGGAGGACTAGAGAAAAAAGGGGGTGGGTTGACTTGGGAGCGCTTAGGGTAGGCGGTGGGATTCAAATGTTTATAGCGTTTTAAGAGGACATCACAGCGAAGGAGGTCATGTCGTGTAAATTAGCTTCTAAGGCATTAGGGGAAGCACGAGTGGATTGATGACATACCCACGTTATTGAGCAGTATTGGATTCAGGCTTGGTGGCCCTCTTGTTCTTATATTTACCTCCAATCCCAAGAGCATACATAGATCTTGCAACACCCTTGTAATTACTCCATGAGAGGGCAATAACAGCATTTATACTACTCTCTATTCTCGGTATCTATTGTGGCTTATGATATGAGCTCTGCAAGTTCAAAAGATAGTGCGGCTGTCTATTCTGCCTATCAAAAAACGAGTATACGAAACCAGTACTACTCCTAGCCAATTCTATCCATGAAGCTGTATACCACAATGCCGAGACCAAACTCCTCCGACGCACTTGACTTACTCATCAGAATTATCGTAACCTCGTCGGCGTCTCACGTCCAGTATTTTCGAAGTATCCGGCCCAATGCTAATATCGTGAGTCGAGCTTTCTCCTAGAACCACGCGTCGCCGCCTCGAATCTTCTTCATAGACCCAATCAACATCAAATCCACAGTCTTCCAGCATCTTTATCCATATATCTTGCGTATGTTCTTCTAGTGAGACCCAATCTAATGCCGTAAGGCCCCTATAATTGTCAAAAATACAGCTAGGGCATTCGGCAATTTTCTTTAAGGCGACATGGTCAAGGAATTCAATAAGGAGGGAACTGTCAGTATGGAGAAAATAACCACGGTAAGGGATCGATAAAGTATGCGAAGGCTCGTGCGCCATGAGCGAATTACTGAAAGCCCAAAGGACTCCGATCAGCATTAGAAAAGCAATGCGCCCCATGGACAATGAACCCATGGGATCTACCGAGTCCGTGAGGCCAATTATTTGCTGGACAATCAAATCGAATTTCATTACAAGGTCCTCCAGAGTGTCGTTATCACTCGAATATCCCCACGAAAATCTGTCTACGACAAGCTCTAGGAAAGTCTTGTCGAGGGCGTTGAAATCAATGCTTATGAATTGACAGACCGACACCCAATCTTCAAGACTCTCCTTTATTTTTTCATTAGGCAAGCCAGGCCAAGTCACGGAATTGATCGCAAGTTCTATTGGCCATCCACTTTGCCAGAAGCATTCGATTTCAATCTCAGGGAGGCCTAGGAGGTAGTGGAATATGGCTCGGCCTTCGATATTGGCTAAACAATACGGAGTAGTTGCCAGGGCTATGGCATTGTCGTCACTGGTACGAGTGATCTTATTAGGAAGGGTTTCATAATATAGGCCGGGTACTTACATGTTACGTGCATTGATATCTGCACCGCTCTGTACCAGCGCTTTGCAAATATCCAACTCACCGTGCTCCACGGCAATCTAACTTCACTTAGCACGTTCCCAACTATCGTAGTTGCCTTTGTCATCTAAACTTACCATGAGCAATGACCGTCCATTAGTATCTCGGCCTGAAGGCGAAACAAGCTTTTGCGACAACATGTTCTGGACAGTATAGACGTCACCATCTTCTATAGCACGAATCACTTCATGATCGTTTGGAAGAACGCGATATGTCTTTAACCTAATACCGAACTCCGGAGCTCCTCTCGCATCGGTTTTGTTTTCGTACGTCATTGAGAAGCCCGTAGACAGCCAACTTAGCGAAGGTATAAGTTGTACTGTAAGCTCGTACATCTTTGTTGGGCGCCCGTATTCGTTAAAATGGACTTTGTCTCGGATGGAAAGCATCAAATTTCCTAGTGCAGTTTTCCATCTCCAGCAGTTGTAATAGAGCATCGTTATGCTGTTCCTATCCAGCCGGCCAAGAGCCCGCCTCTTGAGGAGCAAGGGGTTCGGATCTTCGAAGGGGGTGATATACGATTTAGAAGTATATAAATCTATTTCGGCCGCCTCTTTACTCTCAACCACTGCCCTTTCAGAATCTTGTTGTGCTGTCCTACTACGATGTTGAATCTCGTCGAGTGCAGCAGGTGCGTTTTGAATAATGCTATCGAACCCGGACCGGGCCGCGGACTGGTATTCCTTCTTGACTCCTATAAGGATTTCGTCCTTATATTGTTCTAATAGGGGTCGAAGTGCGTGGACTAAGGTACTGGAATCGCTAGCTAAGGGAGTTCGCTGGGTTACCGTAGCAAAAAAAGCCGAGTTCTCTACTTTAACATGAGCGAGAGAGTCCAGGGTCTCCGACTGTCGAACCTGGATGTGCTGAAGGCCCGTAGTAATATCTTCTATCGAGGCCCGGAGATCCCCTAGCCCTTGGTTGACTAATGAGCGATTCGCAATGGCCTGTTGCGCTGCTTGGGTGTGGAACAGTGTGTTTTCATTCTGTGCCTCCTTAACGAAGTTTAAGATTTCGAAATGTTGATTATTCGCGGTCCTTCCTAGGTCAGACTTCACGTCATCAATCGACCTCTTCAAATCATTAAGCCTCCCTAGTATCGACCGGATGTCATCCGTGGTTGACTGTCGTGTCACTTGGTGTAACTGTGTCTGTCTACTCTGGGAGATATAATGGAGAGTAAGTTCACTCCTGAAGAACTGCAGCCTATTGGATATCTCCTCTATCTCCCTCTTATTCCAAATGGCTTTGAAAGCTGTCTTTACACGCTGAAGCCGGCTGTTATTCTGGCCATGCTGAATACCGCACTTCTTGAGGCGATCGAGGAGGCTATCGGCAAGTTTGCAGCACTGAAAGGCTACTGGTTGGAGAGCCTTGTTGTTTATCTGGTGTTAGCATTTCATGTCACGAGGAATACGATTGAATGTACCTAAAAGTTGAATACCTTTTCTTCAGGTGAAGCTGTTGTAGAAGTTTGAGAGATCGCCTTGGCTGAGTCGCTGATGCCCTGAGCGAGGGCCTTCATATGCGTCGTAATCACTTGATGATCTTTGTTTTCTGACGAGGTTGCGTCATTTCGGAGTTCATTCGAAATACGGATCAGTTTAGCTGAGAAGTCAACGAACTGCAAGATGTTCGATGCAAGTCCGACGGCTACGAGGGCCTCCATTGTTGCTATGCCATGTCCTTAAAGATAGTATAATTACAAACGAAGTGTGCCAGTGAGGCAAGTGTATATGTTGACATTGTTTCTACCCTACTTGGAGGCAGTCATGCGTCCCGGATGCATCGCCCCCATGGAGGTGCAAGTAAGCCCATCGCAAAGCCTCGCGATGTTTTTGACCAATCAGACATATATGAATGGGCTGAGTCTGCTGTGATACACCAGATACGCATCCGTACTGGTTAGTAGGAAATAGCCCATAGGCTCTATTCTCATCGCCATATGTGTTTTCCATCCTCGGTCCTCAAATAATCACCCAAGTTGAGAGAAATAATACGTCGTGGGAAAAGTGGGTAGAAGAACAATTCAAGCCTCGTCGAAGCTTTAGGGAAGACATGCCGAAGCTACGGGGCCGTCTCGGCGCATGAACTCATACGGCTGAAGTTGCCTTGTAGATGATAGGAAATCGAGTTGCCGCGAATAATTGCCAGAATTCTAACTTCTCCCATGCTTGTCGCATCGCTAAGATGACCCGAATTCCCGAATTGCTTGTCGGATCACAGAGATCTACTAGTCGCTCGGACTGCACAGGGGCGACCCAGGGGAAAGGTATAGGATAGCCAAAACGACCGAGTTTTACGCAGGAAGATCAGACTTGTTAAGTCGGGCGGATAAAAGTTGTCGTCGGGGATCTGCTCGCTGAGACGGTGCCAAGAGCCACGGAGCCAGCTTAAAAGACCAGGTTGATGAACCGAAACCGAAAGGCTTGCGAGTGTATTTTATTTTTGGAGTATTTATGATACAAGAGGAAAGGTTGATAATAACTAGGATATTTGATCTTATTAGAGATTTTCTTAGAAGATCTATTCGTTAATGGTTGTACATAGTTACTGCTATGTATGCAAGACTTACACCTTCTAACTACCAACTATAAACCCTACTAAAACAGGAAAGGTGAGGCATTCTAACCGGCGAAGTGGGGTCGACCAGGGTGCCGGAGATGGCATCTCCCGGGGTCTTTAGCTTCAATTTAGCTTCAGTTTGCTAACCTAGTTCCCGTTTCAGGGTCCCGTATCCCGAACAAGGTTAACCCCTTAGGTGTCACGAGCTGTCAGTTTCTACATAGCACAATAATAGACATCGAGTATCAAATATGAGCGGCAACTTCTGTTTCTGTCAGTTACAAGGGTGCTCACCGCGACGGAGCCGCGAATATCTCCTACTTCTTTGTCGCAAGAAACGTTACTCTCTCCATTCACATAATCGAAATGTTTTAATATCTGTAGTTCGTTGATCGAACATTGACTTCATGCTCTTATTTTATTTTCTATCTTTCTTCCATCTTAATACACCCTTTATCTTCTGTTAATATACTTTAATTGCGCCTTAGACGTCATAGTTACTATTCAGATAGCGGGAATACTCGATATCTCGTTTGCCGGTCTCTCTACCTTCGACTTGTACTATATTCGACACAGTACCACCACAATCAAGAACATATGATCTGCTGTATTTGGTGGCTATAATATTGCCATTGAGATCCGGTTAGCTGCGTGGATCGCGGAACATATACCGGTATCTACTTGCCTTCTTTGACTGTAACGGTCTACTCGGATTCGTTTTAATTACACTCACAACACTCACAACACAACTCTATAAAAAACGACAACACTCATGGTCAAACCGAAAGCGAGAGCAACATCATTCCTTCCCCCCTTCTCCTAACCCATACTTCATCTCTCATCGACCCCTTCTCTTCTCATTACGATGCCGTCCGTAATAGAGGATGCCAGTCCTCGCACCAACTTCACCATCGTTGCAGACGCATTTCCCAGTCAAGTCCTAGGTGGTAGCCGCCTAAGCTATTATGTAGCTATCAGTGTGGTATTGCTCTGTATATGGTTATTTCAGTCAGAAAAGCAGAAATGCAGTGTCTCGGCACCTTTCTACCAGGCATCCCGATTAAAATGGATGTTTAATGCCGATACCTTGATCAAGGATAGCTACTCCAGGGTCTGTAAACTGTCAGTCCTTAGAAAGGTTTATAGTGCTAAAATTATTTCAGTTCCGTGATACTGTGTACCAGGTCAAATCGACAGAGGGTGTGAGAACTATCATTCCGTCGACACTGGTCGGCGAGCTCAAAGGTCTCCCGGAAGATACTCTAAGCGCGAGGACGGCTGTTGAAGAAGTCAGTGTTAAGAAGAGGACTAACCTCATAGAAACTGAGGTGTTAACGATATCACATAGGCTATGTTAAGCGAATATACCAACCTCTGCGCGGGATCGCACACTGATACGATGTCCCTGCTCTTGAAGTGCAAGATGACTGGACAGCTAGCAAGGATGACGCCACAGCTCAAGGAAGAGCTCGAACACATCATTGCCACCGAGTTTCCTAAGTGTCAAGGTAGATTATGCAGACGACACTCGAAATGACTAGCCAACTGATAGACAATAGAATGGACTCCCTTCAAGATACAGCCTTTCATGGTCCGAACGATTGCCCGTCTAAGTGGGCGTGTCTTCGTTGGGCCTCTGCTGAACCGGACAGAGGAATGGATGAATGTGAGCATCAACTTCGCCATCACCGCCTTTATCGCGGTCATCAAGCTACAATTCTTCCCGCCGTGGATGCGCCCTGCAGCGCAATACTTGGTTTCCGAGCTACGCACGATCCGAAGAGACCTAGAGAGGGCGCAGGCTATGCTTACGCCTGTTATCGAGGAGCGCATCCGTGACGCAGAGACCCCCGGATACGATAAGCCTGATGACTTTGTCCAGTGGCTGCAGGATGCCTTGCCGGAAGATCAGAAGACAGATTTCTATATTCAGGCCAAGATACAGCTACTACTAAGTGCAGCGTCGATCCACACAACGAGTAATCTAACAACGGACTGTATTTACGATCTAGCCGTGCACCAAGACATGCAGGAGATACTTCGTGAAGAAGTACGTGAAGTATTAAATGACGACGAGGCATGGGAGAGGAAAGATAGCATGGGCAAGCTGAAGAAACTTGATAGTTTTATCAAGGAGTCTCAGCGGCTGTCCGGGAACGTCAGTAAGTGCTGTCCGAGTAAACCAAATGCAAAATTACGTCCTCTAACTTATATAGCATCCTTCATCCGCAAAGTAATGAAACCAGTCGATCTATCCGACGGAACACACCTACCAGCGGGCACCAATCTTCTCGCGCCTATGGCCGGCGTCGCCGTCGATCCGCGATACTATCCAGACCCCGAAGCCTTCGATGGGCTGCGATTCTGGAAACTCCGACAGCATCAACGCTCATCATCCTCTTCCTCTTTCTCTTCACCCGCACCCTCTACCGCCGACCCCAACACAGCTTCAACTTCAGCCACAACGACGACAGACGAACCTGCTACGAACGCGAACGGGCGGTGGCAGTTCACCAGCATCGGCGACACGGCCATGAACTTCGGGCTAGGCAAGCACGCGTGTCCAGGCCGCTTCTTCGCCAGCTGCGAGATCAAGATGGTTCTCGCGTACCTCCTACTGCATTACGACATCAAGCTACGGGACGGCGAGAGCCGGCCGGCACCCAACATGTTTATGATGACTAAGAGTCCGAGTATGACCGCCGAGGTCCTGTTTAGGAGGAGAACAACGATTTATTCTTGATGACTTCGCCTGGATTATGCAGACGGAAATGTCTCGGGGCCAGGAGCCACCGGGACTGCTAATAAGTCCAGCATGTATGAAATTAGATGGAGACGGATGATTTAGGATATGTATAAAGGGAAAGGAACGGAATTTGCATATACCAATACCCAATTGTACACAGCATGTATATACTATATACCCGAGTCTCGTAGCTTAGCCTATGGGCTTTGGGATTACAGCATTGTCATAAAAGGCGTTCAAGGAGGCTTAGATATCGGACAGGCCTCAAAAACATTAGTGGAAGAGCAAATAGAACGTTATTTCGAATAAAAATCACCCAAGAAAAGCAACAAGACAAATTATTTGATTTAGAATGATATTTCATTATCAGAAAAGAATGGGGTATCTCTAGACTTGCTACGCTTGCTCTGAACATTCATATAATCTCCATCTCGTGACCAATTTCAAGGCTTTCCACGCTTCCACATCATCATTAGGTATCGTAAGTTCGTCACGTCTTTCTTTTCAGACCATTCCACTCGTCGCAAAGCACGTCGCCTCAAGTAATTCCCCCAGTATCGTCTCGCTTCCAGAGCCCTCCGCACGCCTATAAATCCGACCCCTGGTGATACTTTCGTAAAGGCGTCGTGGCCAGCCGTTGCCGCGGGATAACCCAATAGAAACCAAGCCTCCTTGCTAAAAAATCATGCAACCCAACTCCCAAATGCTCTTGATCAGATGCAGTGGAGCTCTCCCGGAGGCTGGTCTCGCGACAATGAGCAGTAAAGTATTAGATGGTAGATCTTGCCAAGCTAGATTAGGTAGCCTAGTTCGAAAGGTAGGTAGGTAAAATATATGCATAAATGTTCGTATATCCAGAAATGAAAAATATTCGCTATGATCCCAATCAAGGGGAGAGCGAGTCAGTTTGTTGAAGCCGTACTGTTTTACCGGTCTCCTATTTATATGCAATGACTTCTAGTCTTCTGGTTCCTGCCATTTTTTATGCTTAAGTAAAATAAAATAAAAAAAGATTTTCATGATAGGCTTGCGGCATCTTTAGATCTTAAATGATTTCTCGCGATTCTCGTGTAAATTTATTTTTCCTGTGGGACAATTTCGAAAGGAAATATAATGCAAGGGGGGGTATGAGTCCAGGAGAGTATAGATTCTGTACAAGTCAATGGAAATTAAGTTGTCCAATAAGGAAAGGAATAACTCCACCAACAGAGGGGTTCGAGGATTTCGAGTTCCAAAAGCTGGGCCGCCGAAGACATCTTGAAGACGTAGGGATCATCGGAAGACTATATACCGAAAGCATATCTATCATATGCTCGCAACTCTTCCTCTTGCTTCGGGCATCCTTGCATGGCACACCATAAGCTTGAGGCTGGTTCCCCACTCCTCGCATTCAGCCAGCAAAGACTTGTCGTTCCAGATACTGGTAGTCATTCCGGTTGGGGTTTCGTAGCATCGGTTGTACCACCATCGTCCGACTTTCGAAACCATCTTCGTGATATTCTCATCGCCAATTTCCGTCTTGTCGTTCATCATTTCCGCTAGGCTTCGCTCATCTTTCTTGCCTTTAACGCGAGAGGAGCTTGTAATCGCGCTCGCCACGGGCACGCCAACGCGACAAGTCTTGACGTCGATGAATCCTTTCTTACCAAGGAGGCGAAGAATGAGGTCTGCTGTGCTGCTAAGATTGTAGTCGGGATTACGTGCGCTGATTCGCTCCTTGAGTTGGCGTACCGAGCGCCGAGTACGGTTACCCATATTATTCAAGTCCACATCGAGGATGGATAGTTCGATGTATCCTCCAGGCTTGAGAACACGCCGCGCCTCTGAAATGATATTGCGATAGTGAGATTCTGGGGCTGCAGACGGGAACCGGAACACGACTGCCGTAAAGCTGTCTGGCCCGAAAGGGAGCTTATCCATGTGTGATATCAGTTGGATCTGATGATGATTAGGTGGCGAGAGGGGAAACGAAGGAGTCGACTTTTGCTCTGGTGGTATTGGTGCACGAGGGGATAAGTTAAAGAAGGTTGCAGCAGGGTAGGTTTCGGCAGCGTAGAAAGACCAGTCGTCATTTCCAAGGCCGTCAATGACAAGAATTGAATGACGCTTGGGTGAGCCGGCGTCATTAATGAGGTCTTCGCGGACCGGGCTGAATAACACATGACCAAACGTGAGCCATTTGCTAACCGTCATCGAACCCACACGAAGATTGACCTGGGAAAGGGGCGTTTCTTCGCTGGTGCGACTACTAGCTGAACTTCTCTTAGTCTTAGTACTTTTGTTCGAAGACGAGCTGTCTCGTTGAGAAGCGAGTGCCTTGTCTGGTTGTGGGTTACTACTATTGTTGTCGCCAGATCCAGATACAAATTCCGAAACTGAAAACGGTCTTGTCGGTGCGTCAGTGCCGAACCTGAAAGCCGCGTTGATTCTAGCTGTCATATCAGCGCTGCAGTGACTTGACGAGGTAGCACTTTTTCCAGTCTCGATAGAATCACGAGTATCCTTAGCCGGATGATTATTAACGGCAGGTGATTCAAGTGACTTGCTTGATTCCTTCGCCAACCTAGAGCCATAGATTTCCAGATGGAAAGGGACACCCCGAGAAGAGGTCGCTGATGGTGGCACCTCACCCAAGAAGTCGTTGTATTCGTCCCAAATTTCGTCCTCGGTAAGCGGGGCATTCGGCGTTGGGGGTAACGGAGTATGCTTGAATACATGCACTAACTCCGAATTGCTAGACCCAGAGCTTGTCGTGCATTCAGAGCCCTTTTGAGGTGAAAATGAAAGAAATTCTTTTCCAGCTTCGCCGAACTTGGGAGACAAGTCTTCGGAGGGTGGTTCCGGTTTGATAGAGACATTATAACTGGTAGTTGTTGCCGACAGTTCCGTCTGAGGACGTTCAAGGGATAAAGGCCTTATTGGGCTCGGACCCTTCGCAACGGAGTCGCCGTCAACTTGGCTTAGGTCGGGAGGCGGTCTTTGGAGGCTGACCCGATGAAAAGGGCGAGAGAAACTCTTCGGAGACGTCTGTTCTGGGCGGGTATTGATAACCTTGGGTATCCTACCAACTTGAGGAAGCCTGCTCGGACGGACTTTAGGATTGCTTGGAACAGAGATTGTAGTCCCATTTTGCCGCTTAGGTATCGATGTTTTTTGCGATTTCGTATGGAGAGCAACGTTTTGTGCCGGTTTTGGTGTAGCGTCTTTCGGCTGGCGTTGGCGGATACGGGGCGGCTCTAAGGATCGAATACTGCTCTCGGATGGCCTTCGATCGTGATCGTTAGTAGGCATAAACGGAATTAGAACCTCCGCTTCTCTCAAGATTTCGCAAACATCTTGCTCCTCAGTTTCATCTTGTTCAGAAGAGTCCATCATTGTATAGAACGCGACCGGCTTGGTTGGAACGTGCTTCACTGCCGCGGACACGCTCGCCTCGACCTTATTGTTACGGTCCTTAGGAGGTTGGTTTTGCGATCTCCCAAATAGGTTCCATTTACGAGGAGACTTCGCTCGCTTAGTGAGCTTTCGTGGCTCAGGCTTGGACTCAATCTGTTCACCGACAGGCTCTGGTCGAGACTCCGCAAAAGAGTCGTCGGTCAAGATAGTCGTCTCTATGCTTCCTACCGATGGAGAGGTTATTCCTCTAGTGACAATTGGCTTCGGAAGATTCAAAGGAGAGCGGTTTGGGGATCGCAGCCGTTGAATTGATCTTCTAATAGCAATAGTAGGCTTCATCGAAACAGCTTCCGAGTCGCTACTATCCGAAGGATGAGACTGTGTTGACTCCCGTGGGAATGCCGAAGGCCACAATGTTTGTCGCAATTCCTCTCTCGAGGATTCGGATACGGACGAGTTGTTGCGGGTGCTAATACCTGGACGATTCGGGACCATACTCTGACTGCTTTCGATTCGTGTAATTTCAAAGCTGGTGTTTCGGTTTTCCACGATCTCGCCACCGGCAATTATCACGGGATTCATTCGTTCCAAGAAGAACGGGTCCGTTGATTGAAGACTTGCAAGGCTTTCAGCTGAAGAAAACGAACCCGGCAGACCACGCGGGGGGTTTGCAGCACCGCTGCTACGCCTTCTAACATGGCCTATCCTACCATATCCTTCGTGGCCTGTTCCGGCAGCCGGTCCTTTTCGAGCCGGCTTATCTTTCTTGTCTACCTGCGGTAATTCCGGAGCTGTCTTAGTTCGCCTCCCAAAGAGTGGAAATCTTGTTTTGAACAAAGTAGCTGGGCTAGGTGTCCTAACGGTTCTACTTTTCTCTTGGGTTGATTGGGTAGTTTTCGTAACTACTGCCAGTGGTGCTGGTGTAGGCTCTCGAGGTATAGGTCCTGTTGATAAAATCGAGTGATCTTGGGTAGAAGGAGCCGAGGACCTTGGCAACGAACTAGGTGCCAGCTGACCACTTTGACGTCGATCGGCGAGGCTTGTTGAAGACAGGTTGCTGTGAATTACGGGAACTGGACCACCAAATTGTGAGTAAAGGTCGGGTGTTCCATCTCTGCTAGGCCGCGAGGGCGGTATTAGGCGAGTCTTAGGGGATGTTATAGTTTCCTGGGATTTCTCGTGGGGTGACAGATTTACTTTCCCCTGAGTCGGAGACGTTATCGAGGGTCGAGTAACTACCCGAGGGGCTTTAGTTAATGACTCGCTTCCTCCTCCACTTTTCTTGAACTTTTGGGACGACTTTCTAGGGGGAGGGGTTGGTATCGCAGGTGATAACCCTCGGCGCGTCTTCTTCTCCTTTTCTTCGGGACGTACCGTGGAGTTCGATGACGATGAAGTCAACGCCTCCCGAACCGCGGCAAGACCATTAGGATCGGTACCAAAAGTGTCCCCCTCATTTGGTATACTACCAGCCCTTCTCCGAGTTACAGGCGGTCGGGTCTCAGCCGGACTTGCTTGCCTTGCCCTAGAAACAGGAAGACGATATGGCACAATGAGTCCAGGCGACTGCGATGATATCGAGGTCGGGGTTGTGTCTCGGCTATAAGGCCCAGTTCCAGGCGACTCGGAAAATCTAGTAGAAGGGCTCGCACTGAAGGCACTTAGTTGACTGTGGCTGCTTCCACCAGAGAAGAGTGGCGTTGGGGGAGGGAGGTTCTCGGTTGACAATTTGAACGGGATTTCTATGCTCGGTCCGCTTCTCGAGGGAAGCTCGATATTCCGATAGCGATCCAACTCAGGATAGATTCCCGAAGGCTGCGCATTAGTCCGAGGGAATTCTAGCTTCTGTGCAACGCGAATCTCAACGGGGCTAGCGGTGATATTCCGATCCGAATAGGGGGTGCTGGGATCGGAAAATGTTTGTGATCTTGGTATCGAAGACGATGAATCGGTTCTCCCTGAATTCAAACGAGGCTGAATTTGTATGCTAGGCCGTTCCTGAGACAGACTTGATTGTTTCCTACGTAGGACGGTCTTGGGCAGCTTTGCCGAGTCACTACGTCCATGTCCAGCCGATGTTGGCACATTTGAAGCCGGCTGCACAAAATTTGTCGACCAGGACAGTGTTTCGTGAGTCAGAGGTGGCTTTGATGGGAATCTAAGACCAGAAGGCTTTCGTGCAGAAGCATTTTGAGGAATCCGGCTCTGCTGTACTTTGGCCTGTGGAGCTGAGGGAAGTCCGGGTCGGATGTAATCAGCTTCCTTGCGGACAGCCTGACTTGAAGTCGACGAGAAATCTTGGGTTTGCTTCTCCATTATTCCTCCCCTCCGCTTCGTCCGCGATTCTTCTTCCGATCTAGCCCGGGAATCTAAGCGTGGGCGGATGGACGCCATATCTACCTCTTATCCCCGGGTCGAGGTTCAATGCTCAATCATACCAAGGTTAGGAGTCCATATTGACTTCAAAATTATAAGAGCCGTGGGGTTTCCTAAACGGGTGGTCAGCAACGAAACCTAACGACAAACATATCAACAAGAATTACCTAGTACTATCGTTACAATTAGTCTTCCGTTTTTACACCACTTCTCCAAGGTGGCGAGACGGACGTGATGGAATAGGCGAGTTTAAGCCAGCTATAAATAAGCAGGGCCGATAGTGTCCCACAAAGGTCTATGTATAATATCAAATCTCTTATTTAGATATATCGGCCTCGAGCCACAGAAATCAACGGTCACCAAACACCACCCAATGTGGATCGAAAGTACTACCTGGCAGCTTAGGAGCTGGCGAGCAAGAATATTACAGCAGTAAAAATTAAGAGAAGTGTGTATAAGTCCTCGAAGAAAGACTAATAGAGAATATTGTAAACGAAGTTTGAGTAGACCTAGGGTTCGGGATGATCTAGTCAAGTTCTTAGTGACATGACGAGTGGGGGACAACCTTGGCGTGTAGATGTCGACTTGACTAACTTGGGACCTGGGTAGATATGCTGGGGAACGGTGTGGTAGTACAAAGCTGTGGGGGACGTACGGGCGTTTAACAAGCGTTAGCGTCGTGGTTTTCTTCTTCTTCTTTTCTTCAGCGGCGCTGTAAAAAGATTCCGCAGTCGGAGGTGATAGTATTCGGTGTTTTGCGAAGGTCTTCGATAGTAGGAAATTAGTACAGCTGAATAGGAAATTCCTTGTGAGAAGAATCGTCTCGACTCATGGAAATGGATAGGGATACGGAAAATAAGCATACAAACTCCCAAAAATAAAAGGTAAGAAGAGATAGTATCAGGAGAGGTAAAGTATCGAAGAGGCGAAAGAGATGTATGACTTGTATATAATAAGATACTTGTAATTGTTAGCTTGCATCACCTTTCCACCTTGCATATCCGCAAGACGATGATGTACCCAAGGGTCTGGACAAGGGTCACGGTACATAAACGAATAGGCCTTCTAGACAGGTGTGGCGCAACGATTCCCTGTCAATAGGTAGCCAAGATGCGATCTTTTGGAGGGGTTCAGCATGGAATCGCCGAATGGGCGGTCCAGTTGGCAGCGGCCATTACTGTAGTACGTTCAAATTCCAACCTCTAAGCAAGGCTTAAACCGATAATCAGCTAACAAGGGCCCTGGACACCGCGCTGTTGCTTCTGAACGTTAGCTGCGTTAAGGAAGAAAAACTACGTTGAGTCACCGAAGCTCATACGAGACGTAAAAGGTAGATCGACCACATCGGCATATACTTGGATTATGCCCCAGTCCATTGCCGAACCGGCCAAAACGAATTGACCACTATTTTCCTCTATTGCTCGCATCGCATATTTTCCACCATCCCAACTGTAAACAATATGCGCGTGAGCAAGCAAGAGGAACCGCGGGAGTCACGCTTGTAAACTGGTCTCGGATTGTGCATATCCTGACGTCCTATGAGAAGAGAGCTGCAGGTTCTCGACGATACTATTCGTCAAATAGCACCCTTGACGCTTGGAGAGCCTTTCCTGGTTGGGTCGGACCCAGGTATCATCGAGTGCTTCCAAAGCCCACCTACAGTAGTGGCTCTGCATATAGATGGGGTCATACGACGCTACCGGTATCTAATATCAGCGAAAATAGCTCTATGGCTATCCAAAAGCCAGCCAAGCCGGTAGGATGTATGTTAGGTATGTAGGAATATGACCTAGAGCCGTGGTGCGATAATCGCAGTCGACAATTGTCGAATAGCAATTCACGGGATGGTTTTGTTACGGAGCGATAGGAAATTGATGTTGAGGGGACAAACAGCGGGCATCTAGAAAAAACCATTAGCATGGTACATACATGTAGGTACCTTCAGAAGTACATCCAACATTGTACAACAATGTGGCTAGTGCCCCTGGGCCCCATCGGGTACCTGCGGGCGAGAGGCAGCCAGCCAGGTCCCTCCCACTTCTACCACTGCAAAAACCTGAATAAGCATACTACATATCAATTGCTTCCAGTTGTTGAAGGACAGCATGGCAGTGGCGATGAACATTTGCTGAGCTGTCAATGTTGTTAGCGGGAGATGGAAATATCTCTGATGAAAACCAAAGGCGCGGGCCGTCTGGGGTTGTTAGCCAGGAATCCCTGACTTGAAATAAATTTGCCTCTAAAATTCGTCAGTAGGTAGGTACCTATTATACTACAGTAGGTACTTTTATCTCAGTGCCGTAAGGTCCGCTTTTCTAAGCGCCGACCTAGATTTTAGTTGAATTCATCACTTTTCCAATTTCTTCAATCTTCAAGTACTATGTCTTTAGCACAGTTACCTGCTATCAATCTTATCAAAGCCAGAATGTTATTAATATCGTATTCGTTCGACTCCTCACTTGAGAGACAGAAAAATTTTTGCTATGTTTCAGACGGGTAGCTTCGCTATTCTTGCAGAACCCTCATGGTACCATCACAGCGTTAGCGACTACTGCATGTCTCACTTCTGCTGGTACTATGTAGGTATCCGAGAACGCCTAAAATCGTGCGCCAGCGTCAACGATCTTGGTTCAACCGAGTCTGGGCGCTGACAAGTTAATCATCCTTGTACCTCCACTTAATGGGCGCTTGTATTTGTATATATATATTAAATATGTGATGTCAATACCGGACCTTTTACTATCGAGATAACAATACTTGTAATACTTGATCTCGCCTCGGCTTGGCCTTGGAGCATTCAGGCATTCAGCAGTCTTGTCCTAGGTACACACACGTAAGGCCGTTTGTAAAATTGATAGGCAATACTAAGTTGCTATCTTGACGCGTGACCAACAGATTTGTATTGATGTACTCCATAAAGTTAGTTTATTCTCATAAAAGTATTTTCAGGTATTATAAGCGTGAGACATAAATCTTCATCAGCAATATCAAACCGAGAGGCTCCTTATGAGCTACTGCGGGCATATGAACATGATAGATTAAATACGACCTAGATACCTACAAGCCTCAATATCGACATGTGGAGCTAACAGGGGTCCTAGAAGCCAAGGATTTAACGATAAAATCCATGAATGAATTTTCTAATTGGCTATTAAACGTTTATTTTCCAGCCAATAGAATTGCCCGTAGATGCTTTTAACGAGTGAACTTTAAACGAGTTGAGGGTTTTTATCTGCATGTCTCTCCCTATCCGTGTGGGTTCCGCTGCAGCTTAGGTACCCGGCCTCGATCCCCCATTCAGATCGCTCGGTGAAGCCTGTTTATATACAGATTAATGTCGATCATTCATGATGACTCCATATGTACGAAAGGAAACAGGAGTCGCACCTCCATTCCTTCAATCATAGTTTACTCTTATTGGAATCAATTCCGAGTATCAACCTTTTATTAGCAATTTGATATATAGTGTGCTTACGCATCAGAAGGTAAGGGATCGCTTCCTCTGTTCAACTTTTCCTAGGCATCCTCATTGTTATTTCTTGCTTTATGAGCAATCGGATTCGAAGATGAGTTCCCCTAGCTCTTCATGTATTAATAACAGCCTCATAATAATAGAACATACTAACGTTGTCTAGTCGGTTAGTTTTGACTATAAAAGGGCTAATCAAATTAAGCGCCTAGCCGATCTATCAGTCATAATACACTTAGAAAAAGAGCAAGTACTGTGTCTATTAAGGATGCCTACATAGTTGAAGGCCTCATGTGTACATAGGTATTATTTGTGTGGCGCAAATATAGATATATTTTTACGATATAAGCTGAATGCCGCATAATATGAGGCAAATGTAATGTGTTGGCATGGCAAGTAAATCTGGCGTCAGTATTGTACATCTTCGGCCGGTTCCAAGAAGAGTCGCGGCCGGAAGCCTCCAGAGTCCAAAGTCGTTTAGAACCCGGCCACTCGGACCCACCAGCGGTGTGGCGAGTGCCGATACGTAGGTAGGTACTCCGCCACAATCGTACTGAGGTATCTTAGGTGGCTGTGCTATGTATTAGTGTTAGGCCGACGTGGCAGTCTTAATATCCAGAAATTAAGTTGAAGACTTTCAAGTTAAAATCATAACTAGAGAAATACAAAGAAATCGAAGATATTGGAAGAGTTTACCACTCATATCGTAAAAAGCACCTAACATACCCTAAGGGTTGCCGGCCGCATTGCTTGAGCCGCGGCAAGGATAGGATCTTCAAAGGTTCTGAGGTTAACGGCAGGCTTGTCCTTGGCACAAAGGGATCAGGGCTTTAAACCCAATCGCAAGCGCCCGTCTCGTCGCAGGCAGGGTCCTGTTCAGGCGGACAGGGGTATTCTGCAGATTGATTGGATCATCCCGGCGAGACAAACAGGACCAAGACTTCGAATTTTTGGTGTCGCCTTAAATAACGTGACGAGGGGATGGTGTGGAAGGATCTCTATCTTTCTCTATCTTCTCGGTCGAATTGCTACCGGAGCTTCAATTCTTTTTTGGATAGGTATTTGCCACTTATTTTCTCCAAGTTTTGGTAGATGAATGATTCACCCCGCAGCTTCGGGCAAGTATGTGTAGGTATCTTTAGATATTCAAGTCTGCCCCGAACACTAGGCCGTTGCTCAGCTGATCAACTTCTCAAACCTCAACACGACATCCTATTTGTTGATGCTAGTGTGTTCTGACCCAAGTAGGGAGCTATTTCTCTACACTTCCAACTAATAAGACCATCCAATTTCCCTATCTCCAACAAGCGCGGGTTCGAGTCAGCAAGCGCTTCTGTTCGCGCGGGTTCCCCCTTTTGGCCAGCCCAACTTAACCAACGGCATCTATATCGACTACATTAATAGATAGCTATCAGGATAGTCCTAGTTATAAACCCTCAAGTGGATTTACTCTATAACGAATAGCCGCCTCTAGCACATCCAGTCTTCTACTGCTAATTTAGTTAATGCCGTTTAGTCTGAGATCCACCTAGCAATCCCCGTTTTGATCGCAACGTACATGCCCTTCCATATCGTTATGGTCTATCCAAGCCAGCGAGTATCTGCTCCTCGTTCATCCTCATCGGGACGTGGCGGGTTGGAACTTGGGTCTCTTATCCCAAATAGGTCTTTTAGTCGATCCATTTCTCCGAGAATACCAAAATCATCTGACTCAAAAAGGGAGTACCCGCCCAGTATCAGAGCGGCAGAGATTCCATGTGACCATAAATCCGCACCATATTTGACATGTTCGGCTTTGGAGCGTTGATCTGCGGTGCAATCGTTATTAGTAGCTTAGCTGCGGTTAGGTATACCATCGTCAACCTATCTCCTAGATGTTACGTCGCCGATATGGTAAGTCAAATAAATCTCTTGATTTCGGAGAAATGACGGCAAATAGTCCATCAAGGTGAACATTCGCATTAACC